TTTTGGTCGTGTGGACTCCAGGCGGGCAGCTGCAAATGCTGCCTTCAGCATTCAGCGCACAGCAAACGCAGCGCCCTGGCAGGTCAGCCAGGTCCCGGTGGACCCGGCCCTAGGATGGGCTGTCCGGCCGACGACCTGGGCTGCGGCTGCGCCTCCTCGGCCTCCCCAGCAGGCCTCGCCAAGCTCCCTGTCTGCGCCCGCCTGGGTGCCGCCCTAACCCCGCTCTCTCCCGCAGGATCTCCTACGACCCCGCGAGGTTCCCGAGGTACCTGCCCGAGGCCTACTGCCTGTGCCGGGGCTGCCTGACCGGGCCCTCCGGCGCCGAGGACTTCCGCTTCCGCAGCACCCCGGTCTACACGCCCGCCGTGGTCCTGCGCCGCACCCCGGCCTGCGCGGGCGGCCGCTCGGTCTACACGGAGGCCTACGTCACGGTCCCGGTGGGCTGCACGTGCGTCCCCGAGCCCGAGAAGGACAGGGCCAGCATCAACTCCAGCCTCGACAAGCAGGGCGCCAAGCCGCTGCTGGGCCCCAGCAACGGGCCGGGCGGCCCCTGAGCGCCCACCCCTCCTGCCCGAGCCAGGGCTGCTGCCGCCCCGCTGCCGGAGGTGCCTCCCGGGGGCTGCCGCTGACCTGCCTCAGGGGACCAGCGCCCAGCCCCGGGGAGCAGGCTCCTGGCCTAGGGGCATCGGCACGCACCGGCAGCTCCAGGTTTGCTTGTGGGCAGAAGTGAACACAGGTAGAACTGTGGGAAGGGGCTGGGCGATGACCAGGTGCAGGGCCGGGTTCGAGGTTGTGCCCAGCTGCTGCAGACGGCTAGGCCCCTTGAGTGGGTGCTTGCTCAAGCAAGGAGATTTTACATATATATCTGTGCTTTCAAAAAAACCTTTTTGAAAAAATGTAGGCACTAGGGGCTAGGGATTTAGCTCAGCAGGCATAAGCGCCTGCCTTGCAAGCAGGCAGTCATGAGTTCAATCCCTGGTACCGATAAAAAGGAAAAAGACAAAAAAAAAAAAAAAAAAAATGTAGGCACTCCATCCCTATATTTTTATTTAGCTGTTTTGCATAGAGGCAGACACTTTTTATATTAGTAATTTAGAGCGAAGTTTAAAACAATTTTTACTAGACATGTAAGCGATTAGAAACGTTTACCTTGAAGAGTTTTTCTTAGAAGCATAGTTGGAATTCTCAGATGAACTCAGTCTCCGTGGGCTGGAGCTCTGTGCCGGCTGACTGCCCATGTAGAGTGCAACCTGACCCCATCCCAAGGTGTTTACAGGTGTCAGATGGGCGCAGGGGCTCCTGAGAAGCCAGGAAGCCAAGGCATACTCAGGAGCACAGAAATTGTCTCAGATGTAAGACAACTCAAATTATGTGTGTGTGTTCACTTTTGAAAGCCACTGAGGTAATTTGTGGACAAGAGGTGGGGTGGAACATCTTTGCCAGTTCTCAGGAAGAATTGAAGCCAGTGCTGGCTTAGTTTTAAGGGCCCTCAGATCGGGCCAAATACGATAAAAAAGTAAGCCAAGAGCAAAGCAGAATTTCCAGAGGCATCAAGGCTTTCTGTGTACTACAGTCTGAGCTGAATCCTCTCTTCTTTAGGTTTAAAGTCTGTCCCTGAACACGATTATTTGTAAACGATGCTGTTTTAATACCATTAAAAGAATTGTAGGTGAAATGTATTTTGGCCCTGCGCATTTTATTTCTGAGTGCAGCTTAGATAGACTTTGTTCTTGTGGTTTGTTTTTGGTGTGAGGGCTTGAATCCAGGTCCCTGTGCATGCTAGGCACACAGCTACCACTGAGCTTTACCCTCAACCCCAAATTGATTTTCAGAGGAAATAATAATTGGAGATTTTTTTAATGGGAAAAAAAGTCAAAATTTCACTTTAAAACAATAGGAGAATAACAATAGTCAATACATTATCATTATTTTTACTCAGAGGACAAGATGTGAGCCCTACAGGCATTTTACTATGTTTATTTTTCAGTGTTTGGAGATCTTTATCTTAATTTTGTGTTTGAGGTTTAAATTACTCAGTATTTGATCTGGTCTTGTGAAGGTTAACTAGCCACATAAAGTCATCCCATAACAGAAGATGACCCTTGCCCGGTAAGAGACCTCAGTTTCTTAGCTGCCCAGGTGACAGCTCCTGTTCCAGTTCAGGCTGCTCCTGTCTCTTAGAAACGGCTGCTCACTGCAATGCACACTGTATCAACCCATCCCCAACTGACAAACTATCCTGCCTCGGTACTTCTGGCTTGTTTATCCCAGGTAAGCCCTGGACCACCAGAGATCAGGGCCTGACACTCCGGAACACTCCCAATCAGTGCCCAGAGATGTAAATAAATCTGCCCCCAACCCTGGAGGTGTTTCCGTGTTCCCACTTGCCATTGCAATCTTTTTGATCCTCCTGACACCACTGATCAAACCATCACACCTTTCATTTACGTGTACTTTACCCCTAAGCTTCATTTAGCACAGAACTAATGCAGGGTTAGTCCCTGGTTACTGACAGCCTGAGTTTGATCAGGACAAGAGTTAGAGACTAATGCTGACAAGAGTTGTTCATGAAAAACACATCACTGCTCAAAGTCCAGACTGACAAAGTTAGAAATCCAAACATAAAGTAATGCTGTACATTATTCTATTTCTTCCTTGTCCAGACTTTGGCAGGGGGATTAGTATTCCAGGTAGTGGCATATCTAGAATATATTCCTGTCTGGGGAAACAGAAGGTTGGTAACAACAACAAAAATCTATAGATTAAACAGAAAAACTGCCTTACGCCAGTGATGCAGTGATCTGAAGTTTCACTGCTGCCACCTCTGTGTAACATTCCCCAGGCTGCTCCTCAAACACAGCAGTGCACCAGGAGGTGGGGATTAAGGAGATAAAAGTATCTGCAAGGGGAAAACGACCCTATTTTACTCTTGTTACCTAAGTTCACCTTGTTTAAAGGTAGTGCATTTCCAATAGAATAAACTAGCTCTCCAGTCTAACAGCTAGAAAGGCGGCCTTTGTGCTTTCTCTCTGAAAGGCACACTCGTCCATTTAGTCCTGTCTGCCCTAGTTTGGTTCCTTGTTTACTTGCTTGGCTTGTGCTTGCTTTATTCGTTATACTCCTGTGCTGACGCCTGAATAGAGGCCCCTCGTCGTGCTGGCAAGTGCTCGCCCACTGAACCACCCTGACAGCTCTTTGAGCAGCTGGTGAAAGTCTCCTGAAGTCCCCCCATGGCCCAAGGGGGAGCCCACTCAGCCAGCTGTCCTGAAGAGGACTGTGGGGGCCAGCCCCTCCTTTTCTGTTTGTGCCTGGGCTCATGGTGTAGAACAGTCCTGCTTGGCCATGTGCTCCCTGCTGTGGCCACCTGGCCTGTCCACAGTGGCCCAAACAAATCTGCTTGACCTGGGCTGGCACTCAGAGCTGTGAGCCAAAATAAACCTTTCTCTTAGAAGTGAATTATCCGAGGCATTCTGTTGTAGCAACAGAGAGCCAACTAACAAGATACCCAGCAAGCACTCCCCTAACTGCGGACACGGAGCTCCTGGGAGACAGAGCTGTGGACAAGACACAATCTTTCTTTGCTTTTTGGGGTGGTGGAAGGGACTGAGCCCAGGACCTTTGCCCTGAACCAGATCTCTATCTGTTTCTGTTCTTTGTTTCAAGTACGGTCTCACTAACCCGCTCAAGCCAGGCTTGAACTTGAGATCTTCCTGCCTGAGTGGCCCAGAGTGCTGGGATCAGAGGCTTGTGCCACCATCCTGGCTGCGACCTTTTAAGTCAAAGTAAATGCAGGAGCTGCCAGTGTGGAACTGGTTTCAGTGTGCCAGCTCCTTGCCATGACTGTGAGGATTAAGCCCCTTGGGGAAAACACCCACCCAGGCCAGCATCTGGCCCAAGTAAAACATTAAAGCACATTCACCCAGTCATTCAAGCCAGTCCTTCAGGTGGCATTTATTGCTGAGAAGCTGTCACTTAGAATGGACTACTCTTTCTTTTGTGTAAAACGTAAGTTTCAAATGAAACCTTCATGACTTTCAGGCAGCAGCAGTGAGGTAGTAACAAGTTGAACTGGAGGGGGACTGAGTTCAGGCCGTGCTGCTTCAAGGGTAAGGAATGGATTTGGCTCTTTTGTTAAACTCCTGTGTTCTGTGTTTTGCTTTGGTGGGGGGAAACAGCTACTGGATTTTAGCATCCAAGCAAACGGAAGTTTCCTGCCCAGAGGAATCAGGCCCGCCCACTTCGGCACCCCCCTCCTCTCCTCCCCATCCTACTGTGCGGCCCATCCCCAGGCTTTGCTGGGGCGCAGTGCTTGGTACGGGACTTTTCATACCCCTCTTTCTCCCCAAAAGTGCCATGGTGTATGCGGCCTTCAAGTAAATTCTACCCTGAAGGTCGTCCTTTGGAACACTCTGAAGCTCTTCTTCGGCATACCAATGTGACACAGCCCCAACCCTTGCGATGGAGACCACTGCAAAGCGGTTCTGAGTAGGATTTCAAAGGAACCAGTTGGCTTTCTGTGTTTACTTGTGAGTCTGTCCGGCCTAAGCCCCTGGCCTGGAGATGGGCAGCTGCTGCTCCCTCGGGCAGCCTAGAGTTAGGGCGTCGGTGCTGAGCCGGGCGCAGGGGACCCAGGCCCCACTCCCGTCCCTGCTCCAGGAAGTGCAAAGAGGCACTTAGACATCGGCCCTGATTATCGGCTTACTCCACAGAGGCCAGTCAGGTCTCCCAGAGGGCCTGGAGCAGGACATGGGGCCCAGAGGTCCTCGGGTGCCACTGCCACCTGCTTGGGCATCACAGCCCACTGGGCAGGAGCCCATTTTAAGGGAACCTCTGGCCAAGGGCAGAAGCTGCGGTCCTAATTCCCAAAGCCTGGGCAGGCCATTGTGTTTTTCTTCTGATTTCATAGACTGTGCGTTGCATGAGAAGAGTGGCGCGGACAGGTTCTAGATTTCCTCGAGGAAATTCCAGGGATTCAGGTTGACAGAAGAATCTCAAGCGGATCAAAGAAACAATCAACTACCTTTTATTTTGAAAACGAAACCAGATAGCCCCGGTTTGGAGCAGGATGGGGGAGATTATAAATTTTCAATCAAAAGAAAACAGGGAAATGGAAATGTCACCAGGGTCCTTTATTGCATTCCGTCACCATCCAGCCCAGAATTGTAGTTCACATAACATCGAAACTCATTTGCCAAATTGCGGGTGTGTCTGGGGATGAAGGCGCATCTCCGCACTCCCAGGAGCCGCGCTGCGGGCGCCTCCATGACGGCACCTGCGGGACAGATAGCGGTCAGGCCGGGGTGCAGCAGCCCCAGCCCCAGGAGCCAGGGCACATCGGGGAGGGGTCTTGCTATCCCGTCTTTCTCCCCCCATGGTTTGCTAATAATTGTCTTTCACTTTCACTTGCATTTCTTTCTCTTTTTTTTGTTAATAAGTATTTCAAAGCGGGGACACTTAGCTATTTAGAAGTAGATTATGCCCCCAAGAGAACATAACGAAACTACGAACAGTTACTAAGGATGAGGACTGCCCCTGTTGCGGTCTTTCCTGGTCTCGGACTGTGCTGAGTGCATGGCTGCCCCTCTTTATTCCTCCTTCTTGTGGCCCTCTCAGCCCACAGGTGGCAGGCAGCCTTGGGACTCCAGCTCCAACATCCACACTGTAGGAGCACAGGCCAGAAACCCAGGTGTCAAGCTGATCACAGAAACAAGAAACTGTACCTTGTATTTTGAAAATGAAGCCAGGTGGCCCCGGTTTGGAGCAGGATGGGGGAGACTATAAATTTTCAATCTGAAGAAAGCAGAGGGATTTGGAAAGGTAGCGTTCAGGTCTTCTGGCTCCTCTGCTCTCTCCCTCCTCACATTCAGAACAGAGCAGCTCATCCTTGGCTGTCGTTTGTGTTTTGAGGAAGGGCCTCTATGGAGCCAGGCTGGCTGGAAGTCACCATCCTCCCACCGCAGCCTTCCGCACGCTGAGTTTACAGAACCGGCCAGCTCTCCTGAGCTGATTTTATCTTGCCCAGATTGCTGTGGCTCCCGGCTGGACCCCGGCACCCACAGGGATGTCTCGGAGCCAGGCTCTGTCCTTGGGCACAGGCGATTCTGGAACCAGCACTACCTCTCTCTTCCAAGACACTACAATCTGTCATTTTTAAAAAACATCCCCTAAACCTAAAAGGTTGGGCCACCTGACCATTTTGGAAGGGGCAGTAAACAGTAGTCGAATGGTCAAGCCTCAAAAAAAAAAAAAAAAACAAAAAAAACACATTTATATGAACAAAGAATAGCATTTTTAGCTCTCAAACTTTACTATGTCTATCTTAACAAAGTGTATCATTTGCGCTAATAAGAAAATTATTCTAGTTTAGTAAACCTAAGGTAGCTCTGTAACCTCGGGCAGTTCACATTCATCATACGATTCCATCTCTCTTATACCACTTGTACAGCTGGGCTCAAATGCTGCTGCTGCTGAAATAACCACCACGGCTCACACACACCACTGTGCCAGCCCCCGTGGTCATGCTGTGTCACTTGATGCACTACTAGCACAGCTGCAAACAGCGGAGCCTTTCCATCATTTAATTCCCACAGCACTCTGGGGCCACTTCTTCCACTGTCCAGACAGGCAGAAACAGGTTCCACGTTCCAGGTGAGCGTGCACGCACGTCAGGTCTCCTGGCCCGGCTTCCGTCACCACCCAATGCCCACCTCGCTGAGCCTCGTGCCTGGTTAGTGTTTCATTCTGGAACACCACAGCAGTGGGACATAATAAAATCTTTTCAAATTCCTATTCCTTATTCCTAGGTAACACATATAAATCTCACACAAAAATTCAAACATTGTGGTCTTTGGGGGCTGGGGATTTAGCTCAGCGGCATAAGCACCTGCCTTGCAAGCAGGCAGTCGTGAGTTCGATCCCTGGTACCGATAAAAAGGAAAAAGACAAAAAAAAAAAAAAAATAACATTGTAGTCTTTGGCACAAACAGGTCCATACGTATGTACTGCGTGTCACACGCTAAGGTTAGCGTGAACTCTGGGCAAGTGTGTGTGTTGAGAGCCTCAGCAGTGACTCGGCACCCTGCCAGCCATTCCCGCCAGCCATGCCCAAGGAGGAGGCAGGCACCTGCACTGAGACGCATGTCCTTAAATTCTGAAAGCTGCATTTGTCCCTGAACTGTCATGGTTGCTGTGACCGTATGCAGCGTTTCCACCTTTCTGTCACCCTGACCCTTTTCTGTTTGCGCCATCTGTTGTCTGCATGGATTGGCCCTGAGCACAAACTCGCCGAGATCGTCAACGAATGTCGCTGCTTGCTACTTGGTGTAAACCTGGCAATTTTTTCTCATCATGCACAAAATCCTAGACTACATCTGCTCAAGGCACAGTAATACTACGACCCTAAAAGGCCTCAGCAGGCTGAAGGATGGTCACGCGGCTTGGGGTGGATTCAGGATTTGAGTTCTGAGGTCTCTTTCAGCTATTGACACCACAGACTTGAAAATGAGCTGTCCTGAGATGAGCAATGTGGCACCTACCTGTGCACAAAAGAATCTTGCCCCGGGTCAGGTACTTGATGGTTTCTGAAGTCTTTTGGAGACATTCCTCAGAAAGATAAGGAGGATCTGCTATTACAATGTCGAAACTATGTGCCGGGATGTTGTTGGGTAAATCCAGTGGGTTGTTGTAATCATAGAAGACAAAGTCCTCCCCGTACACGGCAAACCTTCTGTCATATTCAAAGATGGATGCAGAGATACCGTCTCTGTGCAGCTCTCGCAGGGCCTGGTAGACGCTGGGGGCGCTCACACACGCTATCCTAGAACACAAATCGAACACACTTGGGACAGGGCTTACACAGTCTGGTCCCAGGTAAGGACTGCAACAAAATGTAATAGGCGTTAAAGGAAACAACAGTGCAAGCTAATGATTAGTGAATTTGACGAAAAAGCTGTACATAGTCTTACTTTTAAGAAATTTGGTATTTGGGGCTGGGGATTTAGCTCAGCGGCATAAGCGCCTGCCTTGCAAGCAGGCAGTCGTGAGTTCGATCCCCGGTACCAATAAAAACGAAAAAAGAAATTTGGTATTTAAAAACTGCATCTCATACTTTTGAGGTATGAATTAATGTTTTTACAGAAAAAAGGTAAAACACACAAGGAAGACATCAGAGTTCTATGTAGTTAACTCAAAGCCTAATTCACCTATTATTTTCACCTTAAGTCTTCTTTTTTTTTTTAAATTTTATTTAAGGAGAGAAAAAAAAAGCAGAGAAAGGGTACAAGTTATACAGATTTACAGAAAAAAATAAACAATAGGAAATCACTAGTTAATGGATTACGTACTGTCATCTTAGAAATAATTGTTCAAGTCACAAAATTAAAGCTTGTAAAGTGGACATTCCAACAGTAAGACTGCAAACAGTTCTGTTCAATGAACCAATAAAAATCAGTGATATCATTTTCTATCTTATACACTTAAATATACATGTAGTTATATCATTTAGAGCACTTTCTTTTCCTCTCTTTTGTACAATGACAATTACACATTTTGGGTTTTGTTGCTCCCACAGTTCTTATTACTTTTTTGGAAGGGAGTAGAAGCAAATGTGACATAACAGAACAGAGTCAGTCAAATCAAAAGGGTGGACATAATAGATAATGTAAAAGCATAATACAAGGTGATCAATAATGGTTACCATAATGTCTCCTGCTATCTCTAATAGAATTGCCTATATCATCAGTTATAATAAAATTGAACAAAACAGAAAGAACAAAACTGACGAAACCAAAGCATTGGAGACATTGTAGGTCTTCAAAAGTAGATAAAAGTCAACGAGAATGGGCGTCATAATGAATCTCACTATCTTCACAGCTGTTGCCTAAACTTTCGAACCTGATACTATCCAGCAAAACAGAATAGGGGAACATCAGTCAAAAACAAGATGGTGAGAGTAATACGGGGCTTTAAATCAAGATAATGGAAAGTCAAAGTGGGTTACTATAATATATCCTGCTATTTTTTATTTATTTTTCCCTTAATTAAAAGGATAAAAATAAAAAAGTAAATAATGAAGTGGAGATTGAGATAAAAGAGGGCATAACAGCAAAACGGCGCAGATCAAAACATAACCATTTAAGCAGAATAGTGTTTCACCACAAGATAATCCTGACATAAAAGTAGTTACCATATTGTCTCTTTCCTTAAAATCTTTGAGTATAACTTCGTATACTGTAGCATCAAGTATATCAAAACAATGTAAAACCATTTAAGAGAATGACAGCATTACAGGGTATTTAGAATCAACTAACAGAAAATGAACAATGGTTTCTGTATAATCTCCTTGTCTTTAAAAGTTTTTGCTTATACTATCATACATAATAAAATCCAATAAGATACAACCTGTTTAGACCAATGGAGACAGAAGAACAAAAGCTTGATGAGACTTCAAAACAAGATGATACTAAATCAGTATTACCTATTAAGACGTCATTTTCTCCAAAACAGCTGTTCCTATCATCCAATCTTCTCTGCCTCATTTCTGTTGAGCTCTTTTTCTGTCATTAGTTGTCAGTTTGTCTTCTTCATTTTGTTTTCTGCTCCATTCATTGTGGCCTCTCTGCCACTATTTCTGGATTCTTTGTATTTTTCTTTTTTAGAATATCCTGCAATATTCTCTGTAGAGTTGAATTGGTGGTTGCAAATTCCCCTAGTTCCTCTTTATCCTGGAAGCACCTTGTTTTTCCATCAATTTCCAGGGATAGTTGTGCAGGATATATCCATCTTGGCTGGAGATTATTATCTTTCAAAGCTTGAATTATTTCTCCCCACGCTCTTCGTGATTTGATGGTTTGTGCAGAGAAATCTGCTGTAATTCTGATGGGTGTTCCCTTGTAAGTGGTCTGTTTCTTGTCTCTGACAGCTTTTAATATTCTGTTCTTGTATTGAATTTCTGGAATTTTTATTATTATATGCCTGGGTGTTGCCCTGTTTGGGTTGTAGGTGGCTGGGGTCCTGTATGCCTCATACATCTGAGTATCTTTACCTTTTGCTAAATTAGGAAAATTCTCCTGGATTATTTCTGTGAGTAACTTTTGTAGCTCATTCGTTTGTGTCCCTACTTCTTCTTTTATGTTCTTAATTCTTAAGTTATGGATCCTCTTATCATCTTCTAGTCTTTGTATTATTGCTGTTTGTTTCTTTGTTACTTACCTTAAGTCTTCAATATTCATTTCAAATACTTTTAGTCCAAACTAAATATTTTAAAGTCATTTTGCAATATTGTCTTAAAAGAAAAAAATCCGGGGCTGGGGATTTAGCTCAGCGGCATAAGCACCTGCCTGGCAAGCAGGCGATCTTGAGTTTGATCCCTGGTACCGATAAAAAACAAAACAAAACAAAAAAACCCAAATAATTCTCTAAATAACTTGTTTTCCAAAAAGACACATTAAATGAGGCCTCTCTACAGAAAAGCTAATTTTAATGTCTGTATCACTTTTGTATAAGGGAATTAAAGAATCTATTTTTCTTGTTTGGGGCAGTTGTTGGAGACTGAATCACGGATCTTGAGTGTATGAGGGAAGCACCTAGCAAGGAGCTTCACCATCACCCCAAATAATTTACTTTATTACAGGCAGCTCACAGTTTATGAATGGGGGAATCGAAGAGCTGTTAAACTCAGCTCTGAAAACCCGAGTTTAAAAGTCAACCTAAAGTGCTGACTGTGGCACATCTCTCTGTTTCAACAGTGTTTTGCAGACACTGGTTTTTTTTTTTTTTTTTTTTTTGGTCTTTTTGAGACAGGGTCTCACTATGCAGTTCAGGCTGGCCTTGGGCTCACTTTGTAGCCCAGGCTGGTCTTGAACTTGAAACGATTCCCTTGCTTTAGTCTTCCAAGCGCTGAGATTACAGGCGTGAGTCACTATGCCCCGCTTGTAGACACTGGAAAGGAGTGAGCAGCCCTTCGTAGGCTGGTAAGAAATGATCTTCAAGGTCTACTCACAGGCAGAGGAGTACACAGTTCGTCCTCACAGATGTGCTCATGCTGCCCAGGGGGGCTTCGGGAAGGTCCCTGAGCCCAACACCATGACTACCTGCTACCTGCGGAGCGGGCCTGGCTGACCTCAGACACTGGGAAGCAGACTGAGCTTTTCTTTCAGTTCACTTTGTAACTTCTGGGATTTTACTGTATGTGTGCCAACTGAAACTCGGCTTTAAAAATGTATTTCTTACAGAAACAGTGTCACCTATTCCTGTTAGATACCGTGTCAGGCTAATGTGGCTTTGGCCTGAGTATTCTTGCAGTGGATGATAAAGCTTGCTTCCAGGGAAAACAGTATGTCCTGGTCCCAGCTGGCAGGGACATAACCCTCCCACCCAGCCTCTCGGCAGGGGAAAAGACTGCAAGGGACAGTGGGATTATAGATCCACTGGTGAAGAATCAGGCAGCAATTGAGGACCATATACACACGATGGAAATCTCTTCTGAGACGGAAGAAGAAAGAGCATTTTAGACTAACGGAATCCGAGAGCTTGTCTGCAGCAGGCCTGCCCTGAGAAGTTTCACGGGAGCCCCTCAGGCAGGGCAGTGGCTCCAGAGGAAAGGCTGGAGAATTCAGCTCAGCCAGTGGAAGTTACTGGGTAGCACTGGGGTCAGATGTGAGGAAACATCCATCAGCCATTTCCCGCTGCGTGACCTCTGCAAATGACTGAATCTCCCCAAACGCAAAGCCTGTCTTTAAATCGGAGAGTATAAATCAGGCATGGTGATGTATACTTGTATTCCCAGCACCTGGGAGGCCGAGGCAAGAGGACTGCTGTAAGTACAAGGCCAGCATGGGCTACACAGTAAGACTGTTTCTCAAAAAACCAAAATAAAATGGAGAGCATAAAAGTAACTACTTCACAGTGATGTGATGGTAAATGGGACAATGCTGGTAAAGTACTTAATGCAGGAGAAGGCAAATAGTAGGTGCTCAATAAATACTACCTGCTATCACTCATCATTAAAATTACAACACAGTGCTGATAAAATACTGAAGCCTCCTTTCAGAAAAGAATTATAAGTGGCTTTCAAGGCCCTCATAGTAATAAAAAAATAGCAAGCATCAGTAAAAACAGTCATTAGGTCCTCTAGCTTGAACACTGAACACCCCAGAGTCCCACAAGTTCAGACTCAGTCCCCAGTTCACGGTAACTTCAGAAGGTGAAGCCTGTTAAAGTGAAGTGAGGGCACTGGGTGCCCCTGAAGCCCTGGCTCCTTTCTGAGGCAGGCAGCTTCCTCCACCGAGTCCTTACCAAGATGCTGCCTCTCTGCAGGCCTAACACAGGAGGCCAACTGACCATGGAATGAACCCTCCAAAACAGCCAGACAAATCTCTCCTCCCTATGAAAATGACTTATCTCATGTATTGTTACAGTAAAAGAAAGCTACGCACACTAAGGAAAGCCTAATAAACAGCAACAAAACAGAAGAGAAAAAAGGAGTATTTCAGATCTCTAGTTCAAGACGACAGGCTGAACACAGTTACTAAATTTGCTTCCTCATGGAGGTCAAGCAAGAGTAAAACATTGTTTTGTTTATTTTTTGGGCATAAACTCTGAAAGGAATCGGAGTAAGAGAAGAATATAAAGAATGCAAAGAAACCAGGAAGCTGCAAGGCAAACGGGCAGGTGGTGACTGTTGGCTCAGGAAAGTCAAATCTTACCCTGGCAGTGAGGACGGCTGAGCAGCCTCCCGCTGTATCACACCCTCCCCAGGAGCTCAGGAGCTGCAGGCTAAAAAAGCTCAAAACACGGGGCAGGGAGGAGGTGGGGACACGGTGTGCAGAGAAATCTACTTAAGCAGCCATTTGTCACCAGGATTTCATTCTGCACCACCATAACAAGCAGCAAACTAGAGGGATGATCTCTGGCTTGGGGATACTTGGGAGGAAAACACCAACACAGCTGACCAAGGAACAGCATGAGGACATTAGAACGGGGCGAGCACTGCCCAGTGTGACAGCCAAGGGGGACCATCCGAAGGACTGCTGGGAGCTGCCGACAGTACGTTCTGGGTGTGCCGGGGTGTTTAATGGAAGTGTGGCCGGGGCACTGTACCCGCTCCCAGGCCTTGCTCTCTGGGTGCTGCTCCCTCTTCTGCTTCCCAGATACCATGAACTGACCACCACACCCTTCCACCATGATGTTCTGTCCAGTCTTCCTTAACTGGTTTTACTTGGTACAGTTTCACCTACCTGCAACCAGTGATAGCCTTAAAATATTAAACAGAAAATTCCAGAGAAAAATTCATGTTTTTTTTTTAATAACTCTTTTTTTTTACTGGTACCAGGGATCTAACTCATGACCACCTGCTTGCAAGGCAGATGCTTAGGCTGCTAAGCTAAATCCCCAGCCCCAAAATTCGTAAGTTTTAAGTAACTTTTATTATAGTATACTATTAAAATCGGTCTATTTTATTATCAGATACTGTTACTAATCTCTTACTGCACTTAATACATAATTAAACTTCATCATGGATATGCACGTATGGAAGAATACAGTATATAAAGGGATCAGTGCTACTGCAGTTTCAGGTGTCCACTGGGGTCTGTGGAAGCAATTCCCGCGGACAAGGGTGGGGTACTGTAATATCTAAAAATGGGAAATCAAGAAGTGGCAATGTAAACATTATTCAGAAGTTGTGAACACTGAAAGAAGCACCTGAAAAGGAGCCAAAAGTAGGGAGCAGGTATAAGGGATATCATTAATAGATGCTCTCTGGTAAAAATAAAAGGAAAGTAACAACAACAACAGAGCATATCCATAAAACTTCAAAAAGCTTGAACTTTTTTGTGTGTGATGGGATTGAAACCAGCACCTTAAACAAGCCAGGACACTGGGCTATCTCTCCACTTTCCAAGATTTTTCGCCTTTAAAGCGAATTCTAGAATTTAAAGGTGAGAAATATCTTGGTTTTAAAGAACAGGTAAGAAAGAAATGCCACCAGGACCAGACGTTTGCGTTATGTCCCTGAACCTGCTGCTAAGGAGACCCTTAAAACCATGATCTACGGTTCTGCACACTGTGGGGTGCACCCCAGGACCGCCTCTCACCTATGACACAGCTAGATGCCCCCCAAAGCTTCATGCATTCAAAGGTGGGGCTTCCAGGAGTGACTGCGTCATGGTGTGTGGTTCTGGATTTGTCTGCTGGTTGGCTTAGCAGTCCCAGGTGTGGATGATCGGTTTACTGAACAGGGGAGACCCACTGGGGCTCAGAGGGCACCAACCAACACAGTCGTAGCTGGGGTGAGTACAGAGGGCAAGAAGGCAGTCTCGGGGCTTGCTACCTGCTGCACCTGGGCTGCTGCTTCTCCCATTCCACCTGGCAGGAGCCAGCGAGCTGTGGCCTTACAGACTGGCCAAACGACACCGTTTCTCCTCTAACGTGTAGGTGCCAGGCATTTACTCTCACCATGACACAATGCTACAGATACACACACACACTGACTGCGTTTCAGGCCATGGAGGAGATGTGGCTGCCTCAGATTTACTCAAGTTAGAAGACCAAGAAAAGGGGAAAAAAGAAGACAGAAATAGAAACAAAATCTGGTTCTCACCTGCCATTGTCCCCTGCTGCAGTGACTGCTTCCTGTGCAAGTCGCAAGGCTGTTTCCTGACTGTACCAGAACTGGCTCAGCTGCTGTAACACAGAGGTGCGGTGACACCGTTTTAGAGCTGATGGGAATCCTGCTCTTCTCATTTATCACAACTACTTTACCAGTGTGTGCATGCTTTATTTCTTTTGAAAACTCATTCTTGTATGAAATTAGTTTAAAGTAATACAGCCCCAATGAGTCAATGAAATCTAGGCAGTGAGTATTAGTGGCTGCTAACATCCCCAAGGGAGTTCACCAAGCATCCGCCGCACTGGCTCACACGAGAGCCTGGTGATGCCCCGAAAATCCCAGCTCCAGCTCCATTTGACTCCTTCATCTCCTCAGTGACATTTGAGACATCCAATTACAGAACTGTTTGCTTTCTGACTGACTCCAACACCGAGCACAAGCCTGCCATGAAACAGTCGTCTCTTAAGCCCTTCTGCTGAAATGATCTGCGGCTGTGCCCGGTGCAGTCTCTCTCACTGTAATGAGTAATAGAGCCACAGAGCCACACACACCTGTAATTCCACCACTCAGGAGACTGAGGCAGGACAACTGCTGCAAGTTTGAGGCCAGTCTGGGCTACAAGGCCAGTGGAACTGCATAGTGAAACTCTGTCTTTAAAAGATTAAAAAAAAAAAAAAAAGTGATAGACCTATGTTGGGCTAGAAGGCAGGAACACCTGGCTATTAAACCTTTTGTTTTCCTGTGCAATACTAATATTAACTCCTTGTCTTTCTCAGGCTTATTTAAGGTACCTTCTGCTATTGATAAATTTCTAATTTTATGTAGTCAGTTTGACTGGTTTCCTTGTTTCCTTTAGATCAAGAAACATTGTATCTTTTTAAGACTTTTATGATTTTAATGCTTAACACATCAACCCATGCAGACTTGAGTTCTGTGTGTGTTAATGAAGGTTGATTTTTTTTTTCAAAACCTAAGACACTGCAGCCCGATTGCACCTGTCGCTGGGCAGCTCTCCTAGACCTCCCTCCACCTCCTGTCTGGTTCGCTGTCTTGCATCTCATCCCCATAGCGCACAACACAAGTCATCACTTCTGTCTGAGAACAGTTTGCTTTATTTGTTGTTGCACTATCCCTGACCTTTTACCATGTGTATCTGGAAGCTCTTAGGTATATGTAATGGCTCCAGGTTATTCAAAGCTAGACAAAATGACTACAACAGTGAGGTGTTACTCATAATGGCAAGTGAAAATGTAGACAAATCTTTAAATCAACCATAGCAGTGAAAACCATGACTGCTCCACATTACTTCCCATATGAATACGCATACAGGATTTACTGAATATTTACTTATAAAAATGAGCTTTAAAGTGACTCTAATCAGCACCTGCCTGCCAAGTGTGAGGTCCTGATTTCAATTCCTGGTAGCAAAAAAACAAAAAAAAAGGGACTCCAGAGGCAGAACGCGCACATCATTAGCACAGATGGATGCATTCATGCCTGTGCCGGTTCATCTCTGTCCATCCTTCTTGGTAAGGAAACAGGCTGAGCCGCCTGCCCTCTGTGCTCAGGAAGGACATGGAACACAGCCCTGGCATTGCAGGGTGCAGCAGCTTCAGCCCACAGGACTTGGGGGGCGGCAGACCACACCTCCTCACAGGCTCCATAAGCTGAACTGCCTTCCCTCACCCGGCGCCCCCAGGGGACAGTGAATAACACTTCCCTCAGAATGACACTTCTAGCTCTTGCAATGAGCTACATGACCCCAACTTTAAAACCCAGAAGAACTATCAAGCTTGGCAATGAAGCCTCCTGTCCCATGTCCCCACCCTGGGCCCAGGTGCATAGGAGCCGCTTTCCACCCTTGGTTCTTCCTCTGAATGCCTACCCACCTTTAAATACTGGGTTTAAATTCCATGTATTGGTTAGTCCGCTTTATGTTATGCATTTGTTATAAAGATGAAATTTTGTTCTCATTTACACCCCCCCCCCCGCGTTACTGGGGATTGAACTCACGACTTTACGCTTGCCAGACAGGCGCTAATGTCCCTGAGCTAAATCCCCAGCCCTCTCATACACACTTTTTCCTTTCCACTCTTAATACAGTTGCAACACAATTTTGCTGAGTTAGAACCAATCATCAGGTAATATCGTGTGCATTCCTTCCACTGTACTTTTTAATGTTTCCTACAGTTAACAAATGCATCACTTCTTCTGCATGGACTCTGCAGTAACCCTTCTTCCTACCAGGCATTCTGTTATTCTAACTTTTGCCCTGCAGACCTCTGCTCTGGAACCTGATGTCCTCCAGGAGGATCCGGAGCACAGGGCCTCACCATGCAACAGTACAGCATTAAGACTTCCTGTGCAGCTGTCACCCAAGGACTTCCGGCTCCCGCCTGTGTCCGATCACCTACTCTCTGGGGCTTATGCCTTCCTTTTTTGGCTTATGTGACAGTTAACTGTGTCAAATTGAGGAAGAAATGCCCAACGATATTGGCTCAGTGTAGTTCTGGGTGTGGAAGACCCATGCTAGGGAGGATCACGGCCAGAATGGCACAGAAGGGGAACAAAGAAGGAAGCTGCCTCCATGTCTTCAGAGGAGCTCCTGTCTCCCCCTTACCTTGACCATCCATCTCCTGGCCTCCAGGGCAGACTCTACAGCTCGGGAGCAGACCCTTTAACCTGCCACCGCTGACCACCCCAATGTAGACTCACACCGGGCTCCACACTGAGCTCCTGCCTCCAGTTGGAGCCTGTGGGTCCAGGGCCTTTTACACTCTTCCACGACGGACTCCAGCAGCACTGTAAGCCAATCTTGGACACTGTTACCTATCTGTAAATGTGCAGCAAACCTGTTTCTCCAGGAAGCACGGATACAACTTCCTTCTTACTCACTGGAGCAAATGCTCCTCCAACTATGGAATATGAGGTCTGCCGTATCTAAAACATTTTTGTCCTCACACCTGAGTAATAGTTCAGCTGAGTAGAGAATGCTAGGCTGAAAACCAGTTTGACTCCAAATGCTGAAGGCATTTTTGATTTCTAGTTTTCATAAAGTTATTGATAACTACAATGTGCCTCTAGCCCTGAGACTTTGTGAGGAACCTGCTTTTCCTCTGAAAACTTACAGATCTTCTTGTTTTGTGTTCTATTTTTCTTGAACTCCTTTTAGTTGAATAATAAACTCTTAAATTTATCCACTAGTTCTCTACTATTTTCCTTACTGTATTCTATTTCCTGGGAGACTTCCTCAATTTTATCAAATTATACCAAATGAAAGTATAGAAATTAGAAAGGTAAGGTCTAGAAGACAGATTTTAGGCTCTTATGTGCAAAAAGCAAAGAATTACAAATGTACATCCAATGGTAGAAGAAAAGCAGCTACATTTATTGAAGGTCACAGGAAGGGGTGCTCAGGGCACCTGTGTGCTGACAAAGAACATGGCATGAGGAGAAAATCGGTGCTGGGACCACGGCCCAGCACGGAGATGAATCAGCCTTTTGGATTTTAAAGGACATGCTCCCAGCCCTCCCTGGGTATTGAGGTAAGACTGACTGGAATGACCTGGAGTGGAGTCATCTTGTGGCTTTCAATGAGTGTGCACGTCCCAGAGTTCATATTAAATTACAGGGATGGAATGCAGTCCATATTTTTGAGCCTGTAATAAGGTTTGAGCAGGGAAAAGGTTACTGAAGATCAGTCCAGAAGGTCCAACACACATGTGCTCTGGCCTACAGCCTCAGAGATTTCTTGGGTCTTTGTTACTTTGTTTTCTACCTGTTAGAAGAACAAGAGGATTGACCCTGGGGAGTTCCCCAAACTCAAGTGGGTGGAGGCGACTGGTCTCCCAGTCCCCCTATGCTACCTGTGCTAGTGGATTTAGGACTAATTTTCATTTTCTTCATGCTTATATGCATGTTCTACAATAACTAGGAGATTTCCAGGAAGATGGAATGGTAAGCAGCAGAGAAAGAGCCTGAGATTTACTGCACAGATACTGGAATATAGCAATGGGAGGAAGAGGAGGAGGAGGAAAGTGGGTTCCCTGGACCCAGCAAGGATCTGAAGTGAGAACTGAAGCCCACAGGGAAAGTAAAGAGAGATTTGATCAAAATGGCGGCTTGCTAGGGGATTGGGCGAAGAGTCTCTCCGGAGAAATCATACTAGAAGCTAGAATATGACAACATGGAGAGGGCCAGACAAATCGATAGCAATTCTTATTAACCAAGACAGTGCAGCTGGAGGATTTAAAGTTGTGCTGAGACCGTGAACGCTGATAACGGGAGACTGCAAATCCCACGCCTTTAAATCAACAAACTGATCCGCAGACCCAGCAGGAAAAGCTGTGTTAGCTTTTGGTGACTGCAGGAAACTGAGACCTGGGACTCCGAGTAGCAGCCAGGACTATACCGCTGCACCAGAGATCATAAAAGGCTCTGGAGTTCCAAAGCCAAAAGCTGCGCAGATTTCTGACCATTCTGCACCGTGCCAGGAGTGCACGCTGTGCACTGTTCCGCGCTGTGCCGGCAGTGCGGGAAAGGTGGGCGGCTTGGTGTGCGGTGGACCCGGGATGAGGACCTGCGCCGGACTCTGGTGAGTACTGGGAACCCCGCAGCTGCTGGGGTTGGCCAGAGAACATCTTGGAACTGGACAGTGCCCGCCACCACAGGGACATCAATAACACAGAGTCTGGCGGCAGACATTTTAGTGTTGGGCAGAAACTACAGCTCGGTGACATCACCGGGTCCCCCTGTAGGGAGGGCTGGTGGAAGACATCTTGAAATTGGGCAGAGCCTGATTACGTGCTGGCTTCAGCTCCATACAGAGAACTAGTGGGAGACATCTTGGATTTGGGCAGATCTGCTGTTCTGGTGCTCCTGTCACAGAGAGGTCTGGAAGACAACAGCTGGGATTTGGGCAGAACCCTGTGCCATAGTGACATTAGTCAGCTGCTTCTAGTACAAAGAGAACTGGCAGGAGCTACTGGGGCTAAACCAAGCCTCTGCTTGGGGCCCAATAAGCAGATACAAAATAGTCACAACTCAGTGACATCCAGAAAGTACAGCCTAATTTACAGATTGACTGGCGCAGAGGCTGGAGACTAGCCTGTACCACCCCTGCATCCCAGCCTACCCCAGATAACAGCAAATTGGGGAGGACAGCAAAAACTCAAATCAGCACGCTTCTGAAAGGCCCTAAGGAATTCGGAGAGGGCCAGAGAACCCCAGGACAGTCTGAAAGAAACCAGAAACATGACAAGAGATAAAAATAAAAAAAAATCCCCAGCTGCCCAACATGAGAAAATAAGTCCAGGAGAAGTAAACACTGAAGAGAACAAGCACAGTAACCATCCATTGCTCGACACAGCATCAGCCGAAATTAAAAAGTACCTACATGATCTCATAGAGGAATTTAAAGCTGTACTCCTGATCCAAGTGAGGCAAGATATAAAGAGATTAATTAAAGAAATGACAAGCCCTGCCCAAGAGAACACAGATGGAAGAACTGAGGAAATCAGAAAAGAAAGAGAAACTTCTGAAGAAGAATTTAAACATAACTTAGAATACATGAAACAGATCCAAAGAGAATACCAGGAAACTAAAAACTCCATTGAACACTGGCAAAATGCCTTGGCAGAAACTAAAGACAGCCTTCTGAAACTTGAAGAGAGATTTATGGCATATGATTGTGAAAGAAAAAGCCTCTAAAAAATAACAAGGAACCAGAAAGAAGCAATTCAAAAACTGGAAGATACAAAACAAAAAGATACATAACTTAAGAATAAAGAATGTGAGTGAGGAAGCAGGAGCAACCAAAAATGAAATACAAAAAATATTCACAGATATATTAAAGCAAAATTTCCTATGTATAGCAAAAAGAAATGATATCCAGATAAAAGAGGCATACAGAACACCAGCTACCTACAATCAAAACAGATCTATGCCTAGACATATAATAATCAAGATTCCAGAAATCCACCAAAAGAACAGAATATTAAAAGCAGCCAGGGTAAAGATGCAGATTACCTACAATGGGAAAACTATCAAAATAACAGCAGACTTATCAACACAAACTCTTAAGTCAAGAAGGGAGTGGGGAGAAATATTCCAAGTCCTGAAAGAAAAAAATATGCAACCAAAGTTCATATACCCGTCAAAACTCTCTCTCAAAATTAATGAAGAAATAAGATACTTTCAAGACAAGGAGGAACTGTGGGAGTTTGTGGCCACCAATCCAACCCTACAGAGAGTGCTGAAGGACATTACAGAGAAAGAGAGGAAGAGATACCAGGATTCCAGCAACAGTGGCAGAGAGGCCTCAGTGAACGGGGCAGACAATGGAATGAGGGAATAAGGTGGACAAATTATAGCAGAAAAGTGGAGTAGCAGACATGAGGCAGAGACGGTAAGCTATAGTCTTTAGTATAGACAGCTCTAAAACTATATATAAAAAAAAGGCAGAGGTCATTGTTAATGGTGTATAACGATTTAAAAGACAGTAGTCCTATTGCCATATTTAGTTTGAATTTGATTTGTTCTGGTCTGTCCACTCATGTCAGATTTGAGGGCACAGACATCTTGACCCAAAAATAGCAGGTTATACCATGGTAACTATCCTTACTTTCCTATTAACTTAAACTGAAATCCTGTATTACTTATATTGTCTTACTATGACTGATCTTAATTGAATCTGAATCATAAGACTATGGGTTGGCCTTGGCTGATTTTATTTGAAATTGGTATGCTTGTTAGTATCAACCCTAAAAGTAGAGGCAACTACTCTGAGGATGACAAGATGTAAAGGATATCCATATGGGTATTAATTAGTAACAGCTCTCAAATCCTACAGTGCTGTCAAAGTTGAGTTTTTATAAAAATAGGTGATACTATGTTTAACTATAGTAAGCCAGTGTTGTGGAAAAATCTATTGAAAATAACAAGAGAAAACATAGTAGCTATGGAAGATCATTTATATTGTGGTCTTATATGTCTTATCCATTGCATGTTTTTCTAGGAAATTGTTTTGCTGTCTCGCTATGACTTGGTTTTCCCTATAATACAGAGAGGATAGATATATATGTAGAAATTCACACATGGGTTTTTTTTTTTTTTTAATTATTTACGGGAACAGATTATATAATGCAAGATGTGAGGAACAGATACTCTGAGGAAGAGACGCTGAGAAACCCGAGGCTTATTTTGTAGCATTATAATATAAATTCTAGCAATCTATTGTTCACTGATTAGAATGACATTGGACTGGTTTCTTGAGTTCAATTTCAGCATATGTAGAGATGGGGACAGCTATCACAAAGAGAATGAGAGATGTGATAGTAGTTACTATTGTCTTCCCTAATTTGGAACTTGAGGACCTAAAAAGCCTTCATCATCCTGTAATGATTTGATTAGTTCTATAATATGCAATAAGTATATAAAGTGGGTGAAGATAGGGACAACTATTTGTAAGAAACTAGAGACAGTTAGATAGACAATGAAGATCTCCAATAGACTTGCTTTGAAATCTGTATTTCTTTAAATTGTTTTTTTTTTAATGTTCTGTTCTGTTTTGATATGTTTAATCTTACCCTCTTTGAGATGTAAAACAAATGTGTAGGACTGATAACCATATTACTGAGCTTTTGTTCGATCATAGAGCAGAATGGTTTGTAGTGTCACTTTTTGAATGTCATTCTAAATACTTTAATTCTATAACCTGAACAGCTATTTCTAAGATGACAATGTGTAACTTATCAACCAGCAATTTCTTACTGTTTGTTTTTCTGTAATTTTGTATTATTTCTACCCTTTTTTTTATCTCCATGTATTTTTTTGTTTCCTTTTCTTTAAATAAAAAACAAAAAGAAATAATAAAAAAAAAGAAAGTGAAGAGAGACACTTTAATGAAGAAGAAATGGTGGGCGGTGCCTTCTGCCTGAGTCAGGACTCGCTCTACAGGAAACTGGTTCAAACCTGTGGATACACAGTGATTGCGGGAACACCACAGGCCTCCATGGAAAGATGCGGCAGTGCAATGGAGCAGCAGAGGCTGTGGACTGCCCTGGCTATATGGTGGAGTGGATCTGGCCATCCTGTGGGGTCGTTGGCCTAGAGCCGTCTTGGAGCAAGACCAACTGAGCTCAGAACTCAGAACCACCACTGGCTCCATCTGGCAGCTCCCAGCTGAGCTCAAGCCCTCAGAAGGTGTGCAGCCTCATGGCCAGAAGGCAATCTCAACCTCGGGGGAAATAAAGGTGCAGGCTCACTGAGTTTATCTGCTACCCCACCGAAAAGCTACTCCTAGCCTGCTGGGATAAATGAACAGGGATCTGGACTCTGTCTCCACACATGTCCACCAGGGACAGTAGAGATAAGCATTAGAGTGAACATTCTCTCTCTCTCTCTCTCTCTCTCTCTCTCTCTCTCTCTCTCTCCATTGTTTGTTCCTGTTTTTCTGAGTGGTGAACATGGTTTCTACTTTTTGTGACTGTTGTTCTGTTCTTCCTTTTATTTCTTCTCTCTTTTCCACCTGTCTTTTGTACCACTTTACAATAATTATAAATATTAGAAAGAGTACACAGCACTAAAAACAATTGCAGAAGGAAAAAAGATCACTTCAAGAATAATGCAGTACTTCAGTTTTCTGGTATGTATTCTCTACAGAAGTATCAAGGAAGAACTTAAAAACACATAAAGAAGGGAAATTTCTGTCCTTGTCCTCATGGAGTTACCAGCTCCCAAATGACAGGTGCCAGAGACTCTAGTGTTAGGGAAGGCCACAAACACAGGACCTGGCACAGAAACAGATTTTTCACTTCTTCCTGGTAGACAAGGAACACACTTACCCAGTTTTCTTCTATTATCCCAACGTGGTATTTCCCATCCCCATTTGGTTCTGTGTGTTGCTTCTGCTCAGCAAAAAACTCCTGGAGAGCTGCTAAGGTGTGGGCAGAAAGCTGGGGGCTATCATCGTCTGAGTCACTCATTTCCAGACTGTCTGTACCTGCAGGTCAAGAAGTAAATACGATGTGTGGATCTGGTTCCTCTTTTCCACCAAATCACAATTTTTAAAAATGCAGCTCACAGCAAAGACCCTAACGGACATTTGATACAGGAAACAGATATATTTAAAACTTCTGGGGTCCGCCCGGCACGGTGGCTCACACTGGCAAGTCCAGCCCTGTGAGGCAGAAGCAGGAGGAGTGACAGGACTGATGCCAGGTCAGGCTACACACTGAGCTCAAGGCAAGGTCGAACTACACAGAAAGACCAAACACCAAACACCAAAACCGAGTCAGGTATCGGTGGCACAGACCTGTAATCCCCGCCCTTGTGAAGCTAAGGCAGAAGGATCACCGTGAGTTCAAGACCAGCCTGAGCTACAAAGTGAGCCCAAGGCCAGTCTGGATACAGCAAGACCCTGTCTCAAAAAACAAACCAAACCAACCAACCAAACAAACAAACAAAAAACCCAAAACCAAACCAAATTTTAAAAGTTTTGGGGATCAAACACATGCCAGGGGCTTTTATTGAACTGTAATTCAAAAATGTGAGCTTTTCCTATAAAAGTGGTCACATTTTTTGTGATTGCTTATAAAAGGAAATATTTACCACAAATAACTAGAAATATTTTTGCTTCCCTCTGATGCTCCCAATAGGCAGAGTTTTTCTGAGAGGGTAAAATAAATCTTTAAAAATTAAGAATTTTGGGCCAGGGATTTAGCTCAGTGGCTCAAGTGCTTGACTGGTAAGTACAAGGTCATGAGTTCGATCCCTGGTACAAAAAAAGAACATTAAGAATTTTTGAGGGGCTGGGGATTTAGCTCAGTAGCATAAGCATCTGCCTTGCAAGCAGGCAGTTGTGAGTTCGATCTCCGGTACCAATAAAAAGGAAAAAGACAAAAAAAAAAAAAGGATTTTTGCAGTGCTGGGTATTGAATTCAGGGCCTTTATATTGAGCTATATTCTTACTATTTTCTATTTCCTATTTTAAGACAATCTTGCTAAGTCTCATTGCTGCCCCAGCAGGGTTAAAAACTGTGACCTCCTGCCACAGCTGCCCAGTGGTAAAATTTTAAGCCTGTCCCACTATGCCCAGGGAAGATTCTGCAGTTTTCCTTTGACAGCCAGGCTGCTTCTCCAACTTTCGCTTTATGAGAGCATAAATTGCCAGCCCCTCCTTTGTCAGCTCCAGTAAATGACAGGAAAGTCCCCTTCTGAAAGAAGCTGGCAGGTGTGGCCACAGGAGGTCAGGTCCCGAGCTAAGAATGGCCCAGGACTTGGACATTTTCTCAGCTATTAACTTACTCTATTCCTCTCCTACTGCAAGATGATGAGGCAGCTCCTCCAGAGCTAAATTCATTTTCCAAAATAAAGGGCCTCATGTGTTTCTTGGGGAACAGCAAACAGTATGTGTCCCTGAGTACTCTGGGACACACTCACAGCTAGTTCTATGAATTAGACACACTCCCACACATGCACCTGGAGTTGTGGGGACTGGACACAGGGCCATCACACTGAGCTACGTCTCCAGTTCTTTTCTTGTTTTAACCTATTTATTTTTTACCTTATTTTGTATTTTGAGAGAGCATCTCTCTAAATCACTAAGCTGCTCAGCTGGGTTTGAACTGGTGATCCTCCTGCCTCAGTCTCCCAAAGTGCAGAGATTACAGGCATTCATCACCATGCCCATCTTTCAGACAACTTTTTATGCTTGAATGTCACTGTTTAAGTGAAATAAAGCTCATGGCTGTCACTGGTGGATATAAAAGATTAATTCGGAAGGAGAGGTTGGGTGTGGTGGCACACACCTGTAATTCCAGTGCTTGGGAGGCTGAGTTAGGAGGATCACTGCAAATTCAAGGCCAGCCTGGGCTAGAAAGTGAGTTCAAAGCAGCCTGCACTGCATAGCACACTGTCTCAAAACAAAAACAAAAATTAAAAAAAAAAAAGACAGATGAACAAGAAAAGGGATAAGGAGAAAAAGAAAAAAAAATGATAAAACAGGGCCAGACATAGTGGCACATGCCTGTAATCCCAGAGCTTAGGAGTCTGAGGCAGGAGAATTGCCACAAGTTCGAAGCCAGCCTGGGCTACACAGTGAGTTCAAGGCCTACCTGAACTACATGGTGAGACCTTGTCTCAAAAACATACACAAAACAAAAAGAAAAGAAAAAAAGAGAGAAAACAGAGAAAAGTAAGGCAGTTCCGTAGAAACTGATGGCCAGACACAGTGGCATCCTGGGTATGGCCAGGCTCTGAGGTTACAGGTCAGCCCTCCAGCTAGTCAAGCCTGCAAGTCCAAGAGATTCCCAAAATCATACTTGGTCATGCTCAACAATTTCCTAGAAAGCTTACAGAAATCACTAAAAGCAATTACACTCATGTTAGGCAGGTAGTTAGACATTAGCAGGGCTGGGGGACAAGGGCTCCAAAATAACATGTGTTGTCAGGTAATTAAAGAAAGATTTCAATGTAACTGTTTATTAGGTCTCAGACCCAAGGTGACTCCACAGAGCACAGTGCACTTAAGGTTAAACACTGTGTACAGTACTTCTGATACCTGTGGGCTAACTCTAGAACAAGGCACACTGCACTCCTGGCTGCCACAACCTACAGTCCGATGACATCAGGGAAAGAACTGCTCCTTAAAGACCTTCCTGCCTTGGGCTGGTACTGTTTTTTGTTTGTTTTGTTTAGTACTGGTTTAAGTTATGAACTTATCATCTGTAAATTTTATACATAATCAACACACTCAAGATGGGGCTGTAATCTGCATATTTTGCTACTGGGTAGCTCTGAACCACCATGAATAACTGTCCCATCAGGCAGCAGGGAACAGTCCCACTGGGTGTTTCAAGCCCCTGATGAGACAGTAATGCATATACTATTGGTGGTTCATCCTGGCAGGGCTACGTTAAATGTACTAAAGCAAATGGTGCCCATCTAAAGGGACACGAAGACAGTTTGTAATTCCGAAGTAATTTCTAAGTAAACTGTTAATAAGCACAATCATTTCATTTCCCCGGTCCTTTAGGTGCATAAAAATGTATCCAAACTCACACTTGATGCAGATGCCCTCCTGGCACTGCCTGTCTCCTTGCTTGGTGGTGTAACACTCTCTCTCTCTCTCTCTCTCTCTCTCTCTCTCTCTCTCTCTCTCTTTCTCTCTCTCTCCTTTTCAATGACTTCTGTCTATACTTCTGTACAATCTATGAAACTTGACTGAATTCTTTTATGAAGGACACAAAAAACTGAAGACCACAAAAGGAAGGTCTGGTGCCTTGCTGCACCAGGGCCAGCTTCCCAGTAACACTTACATGTATTACAAAAAAAAATCTACAAATTAGATTTAGCCAAGGGAGGAGGCATAGGAGAAGTCATGGGGTTCCCAGTTTAAAGCTTCTGTTATCCTTGAGGGAACATCACCTTCAAGGCACCTACGAGTGGAAACATGCATGGGGTGCTGCCAACCTAGGGTGTTTGCTTGAGCTGCACAGCCCAGCTTTTAGGGAGCTCCCATGATGCAGGCAGGAGTTTCACACTGGGCTGAAGGTTGGGCTGAGGGGCCTACCAGAAATAACAGATTCCTATCACTTTGGAAATGCCACGTGCTTAGAGGGTACCACTCAATGAGCCAAGACCAAGGCCAGAACTCTTTTTAGGAGAAGTTAAATTCGTTATCAAAACGCAATATGATTTCAATATCAAACACATTTCAGATGTTAAGAATGACAAAACAGGGGCTAGGGATTTAGCTCAGTGGCATAAGTACCTGCCTTGCAAGCAGGCATTCGTGAGTTCGATCCCTGGTACCGATAAAAATAAAAAAGACGCCCCCCCCCAAAAAAAAAGAATGACAAAACAGCCTCCCAGCTGCATTTTAATACACAGTAGGTCCTGTATATGAACATTTGAGTTGTGAACAAATCATGCAAGTAGCTCGTGTTTAAGGTTAACTATAGAAGTAAAAATAATTTACAATATTTGCGTGTATGTTTTGAGTTTTTAATGTTTTATACTGTATGTTTGTGTCATGAAACTCACTATGTCAGACTTACACAAATCTGACTTACAAATGTTAGTAAGTCAAGGAATGACTGTATTTTGTGTAATATCAGTATTTGTATGTGTATATGAGAGGCAGCCAGCAGAAGCAGCCAGACATGCTGCTGCATGCCTGCTGCCATCAGGAAAGTCCTGGTGTAGCCAGGCAGCTCAAGAGAGGAAGCAGCCCTGTCACCACCGATGGCCATTGGGGAAGCCTTGATGCAGCCATACAGGTCTTGAGAAGTCCCACTGCCTCCCCAGGAACCTGGGTTTCAAGAAATACAGGTGCCTGGCCCATTACCCTACACTGTGGAAGAGCAGCCAATGTAGGAAATGCCTGGGAACCCACAACCAGCTTATCCACAGGAATCCAGGAAAATGTCAAGAAAAAGGAGCAAAAGGCAATCTCAGACATTCAGCCCACACAAAACAAGGCTGGGAGATATAGACATGGAAGAAACTGCAAGTCACACACCTGAAATTTCTGAAAGGATAGCAACTGAAGTAAGGAAACAACTCCATGAGGCTGTACAAGTAATCAGATCAGAAATAGTACCTCAGGTAAAGGAGAAATCACAAACATAATGAAAGGGTTGCTAAGTGTACCCAAAGAAGACATAGATTTAAAAAAAAAAAAAAAGAGGAGGAAAATAAGGGAAACCTTTCCCTAGCGTAAGAAATGATTCAAATATGTAACAGCATGTGGTAATTATGATTCCCCATTATGTGGCCTTGAAGCCTTATAAAGTTTTCACTTATTAATTGGAATGGCTTTATTCTGGGCTGCTTGATATTATTGCCTGTGATGAAATGAACAGCTATTTTGAAGAAAACAAGACATCATAATAGCTAGTGCTGATTTAATATCATCTTGTTTTGAAGCCCCACCAAACTATGGCTCTTCTGTCTCCATTGGTTTTATCATGTTGTATCTTGCTGGATTTTATTATATGTGATAGTATAAACAAAAATTGTTATAGGCAAAGAGATAACATAGAAACCATTGTTTGTTTTCTTTTAGCTGGTTCTAAATACCCTACAATACTTTCATACACTTGAATGGTTTTACACTGTCTTGATATGTTTGATGCTATAGTATACGAAGTTATATTCAAATATTTCAAGGAAAAAGACACTATGGTAATTACTATTAAGTTGGGTTATTTGGTGGTAAAGCACTAGGTTGCTGAAACTGTCATACTTTGACCTGTATTGTTATGTTATTATGTCCTCTTTTATCTCAATCTCTCCCTTATTCATTAAAAAAATTAGTTATTTTTTAAATTATTTTTTTAATTAAGGGGAAAAATTTTTTAAAAATTAGGATATATTATAGTAATTTTTTTGATTTCCTATTAACTTGATTTGAAGTCCTGTATTACTCCCACTATCTTGTTTTGACTGATTAGACTCTGTTCCGTTCTGTTTGATAGTATCAAGTTTGAGGGTATAGGCAACTACTTTGAAGGCAATAAGATTCACTATGATGCGCATTCTGGTTTGACTATTATCTTCTTTTGAAGTCCTGTAATGTTTACAATGTTTAGGTTTTATTGGTCTTGTTCTGTACTGTTTTGTTCAACTTTATAATACCTAATGATATAGGCAATTCTTTTTAAGGAAGCAAGAGGCATTATGGTAACCATTGTTGATAACCTTGTACTCTGTTTTTATACCATGTCCTATGTCTATCCTTGGTTTTGACTGACAGCTTTGTTTTGTCATATTTGGTTTTATTCTCTTCCAAAAAAAAAGTAATAAGAACTAGGGGAGTAATAAAACCCCAAATGTGTAAATTTTGTTGTAAAAAAGGGGGGAAAAAGTGCTCTAAAGGATACAGCTGCAAGTGTGTTTACCGTGCTGCAAGTGTGATGACCGTATTAATGTTTTTGGTTAGATTATTGAACACAACTGTTTGCAGTCTCACTGTTTGAATGTCCACTTTGTATGCTTTGATCCTGTGACTTGAGCAACTATCTCTAAGATGATAATGTGTAATCTATTACTTGTACCCTTACACTGTTTTGTTTTGTTTTTCTCTTTTTCCTCTTAAATAAAAAAAAAAAAAATAGGGGAAACCTTGAATGACCAATATAGGAAGGAATTACAATGCATGAGACAGACTCAAAGATATATTAAAAGAGAAATTAAAAGCTCTATTGAAAGCTGGCAAAATCACTTGAAAAAACTGAAAACAGACTTTCAGCCCTTGAAGACAGGATTGTAGCTAGCAATCACAAAAGGAAAGATCTGAAAAATAATAAGGAACCAGGAAATAACAATTCAATGGCTATAAGACAATGCAGAGAAAAACAATTTAAGACTGATAGGTGTCAGCAAAAAAACAGGGGGCAATACAAATGACACAAAAAGAAGTAATAGCACAAAACTTCCCAAACATGGGAAAAGGTCCTGATTTACAGATAATACAGGCATATAGAACTCCAACCAAATAAATAACCAAAATAAAGCTACACCCAGACATGTAATAATCAAGGACCCAGAAATTCAGCACAAGAACAGAATATTAAAGGGTATCAGAGAAAGAAACAGATCCCCTCGAAAGGAAAACCCATCAGAATCATGGCAGACTTCTCAACACAAATCATCAAGTTAAGAAGAGCTTGGAGTGAACTGTTTCAAATTCTGAGATAAAACAACTTCCAACCCAGACTGGTATACCTTGCAAAACTATCTTTCAAAATTACTGGAGAAACAAGATACTTCCATGACAAAGAACAAACAACCTACAAAGAGCACTGAAGGATATTCTAGAAGAGGTAAAGATGATCACAGTTCCAGGTATAGCAGCAGAGGGGAATTGCTGAGCAGGGGGAGCAGTTGAACTGAGGGGAAAAGTGGGGAGCCAACAGCAAGAGGATAGCATGGCAGACATGAGCCAATGCGTGCTGAATGTAACCATTAATACAGACAGCCTCAATTCACCAATAAAAGGAAACACAGGGAGAGTAGATGAAGAAACAAGATCCATCAATATATGAGAAACACATTTAACTCAAAAGGAAATTCACAGAAGGAAAGTCAAAGGAGAAAAAACAATGTTCCATGTGACAGGAAACCAGAAAACAGCAGAAGTAGCTTGCCCATCAACCATAGAATGGATAAGTCAGGTATGGTACTTTTATACAGTGGAAAGCTACTCAGCTGTAGAGGATAATCTCAGGGCTCTTATAGGTAAATGGATGCAACTTGAGATCATGCTCATGGGTAAAATGGTTCAGACTCACATGGATGAACACTGTGCTGTCTCCTTACTATAAAAAACAGAAGGAGTTAGTGGGATCCAAAATGTACAATAGCTATTGTGAAAGCGAAAGGGGAGGAAATGTCTAAAAAGGGATAGCAATAGCCATTGTTAATTTCCTATTATCTTGTTTTGAACTTTTGTATAATTTCCATTGTTTGGTTTGGTTTCATTTTATTGTTACATTTTGTTTGATTTTATTATTTCTGATGGTATGGGCAGTTATTTTGAAGATGACAGGATATTATCATGGTAGCCATTGTTGATTTCTTATTACCTGGTTTTGAAGTCCTATAATGCTTTCATTATTTTATTTTGATTGGTTTTATTCTGTCTTTTGTTTGATTTTATTATTTCTGGTGGTATGGACAGCTATTCTGAAGAAAACAATGGTAACCACTGTTGATTTCCTATTGTTTTGCTTTGAACTCCTGTATCATTTTCATTGTTCTATTCTGATTGGCTTTATTGTTTTATTTTGTTCAGTCTTATTGTCTTTAAAATAAAATAATAATTAGCCGGGCATGGTGGTACACACCTGTAATCCCAGCACTTGGTTAGCTGAGGTGGGAGGATCACTGCAAATTCAAGACTGGTCTGGGCTACAAAGTGAACTCAAGGCCAGACTGAACTGTGTAAGGAGACTGTGTCAAAAAGACAAACATAAGGAAACAAAAGGATTCATGTGAATGCTGTGCTGAATGTCGACAAGAAGTGTTCCATGCTGCTCTCTTCTCTCCTGCTCTCTCCCACTGGGAGACCTGTATGAGTGACAGTGTCTGCAGCAAGTTCCTGGGCTTGCCAGTAAGGGAGGCTGGAGAGCCGCCCTCAGTACTTGGGAAACTCCCCAAACTTAAGAAAAGTGTTTAAAGGGTGCCAAACAGCCATTTAAGGAGAAAAAGGCCTTGCTAGATGTTTGTTCTCCTTTTAAAAATCAAAATGCTGGTCATTCCACATAAAATCCTGTCTGGTTAATTTTCTCATTGCTAAGACAAAGATAAAGGAGGAAGGGTACATTGTAGCTCAGTTTTTACAGGTTCCACCGTTGGCTGGCTCCAGGACAAGGTGGCATGGCAGAGGCAGGCAGAAGGCAGCCAGGTAAGCAACCACAGCAGCAAGGCGACAGCCTGTCACGCCCTTTATCCCTTCCAAACTGCAAGCAGGATGGGCCTTTCCCATTATCCACTCAGACATCTGCTAAACCAATTTAGTAATCATGCACCCTAAATCCCAGTGTCATATTTTTTTTTTTTTTTTGTCTTTTTTCATTTTTATCGGTACCAGGGATTGAACTCACAACTGCCTACTTGCAAGGCAGGTACTTATGCCGCTGAGCTAAATTCCCAGTCCCCCAGTGTCATATTCTTTTTTTTTTTGATATCTGAAATTTATTTTGGTTTCTGTTCAATAACACAAAACTACAGTGACATGGCATTTACAGCAAAACATCACATACTGAAAAATACTTTCATTAGACCACAACAAGGTTTAAAAAATATAAAGTTAATTAAATTACAAAAAGCTGAAAAAATACAAAACATTGCTAAACAGTGGCAATCTACTAATCAGGCAAACAGAAGGGAAACAATTTCAACAATCAAATGTTCACATAACATGATCTCTCATGAATTAAATCTATCAAGCATGTAAGGAGGCTGGCTTTGTTGGCAGTTCCCATATTATACAGCTCAGACCTGAAACTTTACAGGTAAGTTTGTAAATTGGAATATGTAGGAAATTCACATCTAACTTGTGGATCTGGCTGAGCTGAAAGTTCCCTTGGCTCTGGACGTACAGTTAACATTAAACCTCAAAAAACCGCTTTCAGCATCCTTAAGTAAGGCAATGCCAAACTCAGCCTTCCTATCAAGGGTTTTCAGGAGCCAGCCTGGTGGAAGCACAGGTCTGCCGTACAGCACACCTTCCTCCACGGTCAGAACGTGTGTAAAATGCTCTAGCTTTCATCACATCCAGCAGTCTGCACCAGGTTACCCATCACACCCTACTGAGGTCACATTGCTTTTTTCTTCATTTTTCTTGATTCAGAAGCAAATCAGCAGGGAGGACAAGGTTCTTGTAGTTACAAATCAAAGCTTTAGGTTCAAACACTGGTAATCGCTGGCTTTTGGTCGCCAAGTGACTTTGGATCTTTTTCCTTCCAGGGCAAAAGCAATCCAGTGTCATATTCTTAATCCCAGGATCCCACACCCTAGATCCAGCCAGTTCCACCTATGACCTCAAGGTAGGAAGACGTTTTGGAGGGACATCCATACATAAGCCATAACATTCTGCCCTTGGCCCTTGAAAGACTCATATGCATTCTTTTATGCAAAAGGCATTTAGTCCGTATCCAAGAGTTGCCAAAATACTAACAGTTTTAGCATTGCTGAAAAGTCCAAGTCTAGTCTCCTCTGAGATTTATGGCAAACTATTAGCTGTGAGCCTCTACACAAATGAAAAGAAAGTTAAACACTTTCAACATTCAGTGGTACAAGATACGACATTTCCATGCCAAAAAGTATAATGAAGAAGACAGAAAGCAATGGGACCAAAGCAGGTCCAAAATTCAGCAGCAAATTAAGTTCTCTAGTCCCATGTCCAGGGTAATTTGTGGCATGATGCGAACTCCAAAGGGTTTGAATAACTGCCTTTAAGGCACTGCTGGTAATTGTCGCTCCCATTGCTTCTCCCTTGGGCTAACTCTGCTCCCTTCCTGTAGCTTTCCTCAGACAATACAAGTTCCTGTCTTCTCCACCTTTCTGGGATGTCCACTGCACCTTTCGCCGTAGCTTCACATTTACAACACCCCAAACTGGCCTCTCAAGGGTGTACTACATGGCCTCCCAAGCCTTCCGAAATCTGGATGGAAACCTGCCTGACACCACAACTCCTGCATACTGCGTGTGCCTATAACCAGCACCATGTGGATGATGCCAGAGTCTGCTACTAGTTGTAGCCAGGGTTCCTTCTTTCTTGAGTATAGGAGTCAACTGCCTGGATTGCGAAGCACAGTGAATCCAATCTGATGAGTAAATTCTCTAGGCTGCTGCCATTCTGAAACAATGCACTTTAAGGCTATCTTTGGGGCTGCAAAGAGAGAGTCCTGGTAGTTTTTGTGACATCTCAAGCCACCTTTTCTCTTGTGCTCTTCCTTTTCCATAGCCACATTTATCTCTTCTCCATCTTTGCAGTCCTCAGCTTTTCCAGAGCTTTTTTTCTGGCCAAATCCAAAATGTCTGAAATCATTCTGCTGGGTTTCCTGTTCTTGAAGCTCAACATAAACCTGGCTAAAAGCCCCCCAGTAGCTATATGACTGCCTCAACATTAGATTGCCTTGAAATTTCTTCTGCAGTATTAATTGGTTGACCAACTTTAATCTCCATTTCAGGCAAAGTCTCTGGACATCAGCAAAATGCAGATAAATTTTCTACCAAAGAAAAACACATGGTTTAGAATCCAATAGCCAATGCAGCCCTTGTTCCTGAAATCTCCTGAGCCTGGTCTTTACTGGATGTATTTCTATCAGCATTCTGGTCTTCTGAGTTTGGACCAGAATCTCCTGTCAAGTATAGTTTAAAGCACTCAAGGACTGCTTCTTCAGCCACTGTCTCCAAACCTTGCCAAACTCCTCCACAAGCCACTCCCAAAGGCCCCTGAAGCACATGGTCAGGTAGTGTCACAACAGTGACCCCACTCCTGGCACTAAAACCACTCAGTCAGTGCTTACTAGAGAAACAGATTTAACCCAAGATACACAAATACGTAAGAATTTACAAGACTGACTTACAAGGGCTATTCAGAGGCAGGTGTTAAAAAGTGTAAAAGGGGGTGGGGGCTGGAGATTTAGCTCAGCAGCATAAGTGCCTGCCTTGCAAGCAGGCAGTCATGAGTTCGATCCCCGGAACTGATAAAAATGAAAAAGACCAAAAAAAAAAAAAAGTGTAAAAGGGCTGTCTGTGCCCTTGAGATCTGAGGATATAGTCAAAGACCTGAAGCTCAGTGTAGTATCCTATGGAGGTCCATATCAGGATGCTGAAGGCCTGCAATTGAAGGTTTAAGGTTCTGTGCTAGAGACTGAAGGGTCTGTGCTGGCAGCCAGGAGACAATTTCCAAGGTGAAGTAAAAACGGATTTCCTCCAAAGTCCCTTTTATATCGCTGAGGTAGCAAGCCTATTGGTTGCTGTCACACACACACCCAGTAAATCACAGAAAATCTTCACTAACTCCTTTGACCACACCCAAAACTATACTATAATGGCCAATTTAGTCGGCCATTTCTTACTCAAATTGGCAGAATCAGTTAAGTATCATATTCTTCAAGCAACAAAAACCTTGTACATAACAACCACTGATAAACCTGTGTATTTTCACCTATTACCAATAGTGTAACAGGGATTTATATGCTGATTTTACTAAAAGCACTGACTGCTGCATCTGTAGATGCCCAAATGGGCAACTAAAATCAGAATAAAAACTCCAACATCTTTGTTTTCACTCTGATCTATCCTTTCTTTGAGTCATTACCTCCTGCAGCCAACAGGAACCACAGGCCTGATGAATAAACATCTTGTGATAAGGAAGTATTCACCTAGGCAGCACTGACTTTATCAAGACAGAGCTCTGACCCGACCATCCCGAGGTAATGATTGACCAGCCCACAGCTGGACTAGGACTGCTGAATTACACATATTTCATGCTATATAACCTTGGAGCTCTTGTTAGTGCCCCCTCACCCCTGCCAAGAAACAATTCTGCTGAGAAGACCCTTGTCTTCCCAGGACAGCTATACTGAGTAACTGCTTTCCTGCCTCTGTGTCCCCCACCTGTCACTAGAGACTGCCCCCATGGCTTCACACATACTGGGTAAACACTCTACCACTGAGCTTACCCTTGCCCTGCTTGCCTGCCTTTTACCATTACTTTTTCTATTTGGTGTAGGAGCAAGTGGCCAAACTTGATTTACTGGGACTCCCTGAAGTGTCAGGCCCTGCTCTGGCAAAAATAGTGTGGTGATTCCTTTCTGCTTTCCTTCATTTAAGACTTACTATGTAAAAGCTAGCTAATAAAAGTCTGGTTACACAAATTAAACTCTTTATGAATGTGTATTTGCTACCTAGGAAGGCAAAAAAAAGCACAAGTTACATACGATATGATTAGATCTATATAAAGTTTAAAGACAAATAAAACTATGTCACTTAAGGAAGTATATGCTCCTCTATTTATTTATTTATTTTTTATCGGTACCAGGGATCGAACTCACGACCGCCTGCTTGCAAGGCAGGTGCTTATGCTGCTGAGCTAAATCCCCAGCCCCTACTCCTCTATTTATTGAAGGCAGATGGATTTTATTGCAAAAATCTCCCCAAATAGAAAACTACATGGTAAAGAAGAAATAGTAAGAAAATCAGAAGAAAACTACTTCAGAAAATACAGAAAAATACAAAAAAAAAACCAAAAACCGGAAATCAGAAGAAAAATACTTTCCACATATTTTATGATGTCAGCATAGAACATAAGACAATGCCTGTAATCCCTGCACTCTGGAGGCTGAGGCAGGAGGATCATCATGAGTTGGGGTCAACTCCAAGTATTGTCAAAACAAAAATCTGTGATGTGACTTTTGTGTGTTCACAATGACTTAAAAAGAAAATATGAACAATTTTGGCCTTTAGTTTGGCCCTGTTATGCCAAAGAAACAAACAACAAAATTTAAAATAATAGAACAGGAGATGGCAGAGTAATAAGTCACAACAAATCAACCTATCTAAGATTCAGAATCCAGACAGTGAGATATAACAACTTGGAAGAAAGGAAGGAAGGTAGGCTGATCCTCAGGACCCAGCAGAAGTCTGAATCTGAAGGGAGAACTGGAACCCACAGAGAAAATAAGGAGACACAACACAGAAAAATGAGGTGGCAATCTGTACTTTCTCCCCAGCTCCTCCTGGCTATTGGCATAAGAAGACTGAATCTGCAGAGATTCCGTGAGGGTGGGTGCCTCCAGAGGCCTGCAGGGAGAAACACAGCAGTGGAGCAGAACAGTGGATGCTATGTGCTACAACAGCTGGGAGGTGACTGCAGCCCAAGTGTCTGCATGTCCTCTAGAGACAGTGCCTGGCAAGAGGCCATTTAGGGAAGAGCCAGCTGAACAAGGGACCCAGCGCAGCCATTCATCCTAGGGCTCCAGATGTTGGAATCCCACTGTGCCTGGATGAAAGAGGACTGCAGAGTCCAGGGTCGGGGATCAGAGGGCAGGCTGAGAACAGACACCAGAGTGTTGCAGGCTGAATGATTCAGGCCCTGACCCCACAACCAGAGGCCAGGATCAGCGTGAACTGTGAAGATGAAGCACCAGAATAAGCACTCTGCACTATTCTTGTTGGAAACTGGTGGGAGTATCCAGCACCCCACACTAATCCCACTGCAGGCTTGCTGGGATCCTCCAGCACAGATTGGCCTCTGTCTGTCTCCTTGTTAGCCAGTGCCAAGAGAGACGTCTCCAAATTAGATACTACTACAAAACTGCAGACCCCAGACAATAACATGGGCTTGAAATAACAGAGAACTCTCTTGCTTTTCTTTTTTCATTGCTTTTTTTTTCATTGCTTGTTTTTTCATGAGTATGAACACTATTTCCAGTTTTTGTTTGGTTTGGTTTTGTTCTTCTTTGTGTTTTTCCTTCTTTCTTCATCAGTTTTCTGTCTTCTTCATCAGTTTTCTGAATGTTGGGTAATCTTTCTTTGTCCTTCAGCCTTGCTTCTACTTTCTTTTTCTTCTTTTTTATTTCTCTATTTTTTTCTTCTTATCCCTTTAACATTTTCTCACTGAGGGTGAAATCACTGTACTGAGGGGATATTTACTATGCATAATTTTCTGATTTAAATTTTTTATAACTATAAAATCTTGTACTCTAGTTTAATGTGGCAAATTAATAAAGTTTGTCATTTTCTACACTATGCTTCATGCTATTGTCAATACTAACTGTATTACTTTAGTGTACGTGACGTAGTTGTGATCAGTTTTTCTTCCTTGTATGCCAATACCAAGATTATCTGGGAGTCATAAATAGTATCATAGGCCAGTACCAAAGAACTGGGTGGTAGGCTAATCAGGCAGCAATTTCTCATCCCCTAACAATTTAAAGAGGTAGGATGTTGAGAAAGATGCAAAAGCCAGAAGCCAGCTATGCCTAGAAGACATCTCTGAAAAGTAGTCATTTACTAAAGAGGTCTCAATACAACTAATAAAGCTATCTACCCCAAGCAATTTACAAGCATCAATGCAGAAAAAAAAGAAAGAAAGAAAAGATGGAAGCAAGATCCAATCACAGACCTCCAGCTTGTCCAAGGCAGTGTCAGTAATACAAATTATCCAGCTGAAATTTCTGAAATACTACAGCAGAAATAACACAAAAGAAAGAATACAACAGATGAGTAAATCTTTAGAAAAAAACAAATCAGAAACAATTTCACGGAAAACTAAACAGATAATGAAGGAAATGGTAAGTGAATCTAAGTAGATTCAGATTTTTAAAAAGGAGAGAGAGAAAAAGAAAAAAAAAAAAAGAATCTTAAGAAAGTGATAGAAACCATGAAGGCCCAGAAAAGAATTAGATTTCATAAAACAGATTCATATATTCAGGGGATTAAAAATTCTAGTGAAATTATACACAGAACAATCAACATGAAGAATATCAGACCTAAAACACAGGATGGTGGTTAGCAGTCATCAAATGAAAGAATTCTTAAAAATAGCAAGGGACCCTGGTACCAAACAAACAAACAAAAAAATAGCAAGAGATTGTACAATCCAACAGCTGCTATATGATGCAAAAAAGAATAACATGATATTAATCAGAATCAACAACAAAAAAGATAGTACAAAGAGATAAAATGTAAGAGATAAAATGTAAATCTATCCACATAAGTAATAACAGAAATCTTCCCATGCATGCAAGAAACAAAATCTGACATATAAATAAGTAAGGCATATAGAACTCCAATTAGTCATGATCAGAAAAAAACTACAAGACAAGTAATTGTTAAAATTTCAGAAATTCAAAGCAGAGATAGCTGTTATATTTGCAAACAAAGTGGATTAAAAGGCAAGACTGATCAGAAAAGACAAAGAAAGTCACTACTTACTTGTTAAAGGAACAATGCATGAGGAAGAGATAGTAATCACAAATATATATTCACCAAATACCAGCACACCCAACTATATAAAACAAACACTGCATAATAAATAAAACAAGCATAATGCATATGAAAAATAAGAAAAGCACCAATACAACTGTAATGGGTGACCTTCATATCACATTACCACAAATAGATATATCAATTAAACAAAAAAACCAAAAAGTAAGTATCAGAGCTAAACCAAATCTTTGAACAAATGCACTTAGTAGGTATCAATGAATATTATACCCCAAACAACAGAATACATATTCTTCTCAGCTGTACACAAGACTTTCTCCAAAACAGACCCCACAGAACATGCTTAAGTAAATGCTAAGGAACTGAAATTATTCTCCACATATTATATGGCCATAATGCAATGAAATTGGAAATCAATGGCAAAAGAAACCACCAAAACTACATAAACACTTGGAAATTAAATCAAACCCTCCTGAAAACCAATGAGTCACAGACGAAACTAAAGAGACAGTTTCTGCAATTAAATAACAATGCCAAGGGAAAATAAGCAACCAGCTCACCTCTCTGGTGAGCGGCTATGGTGTGGCAGGCTGTGGCCCCTCCAGTGGGAGAACCACCAGTGTCTCCTGAGATCCGCACCATGTTGGAACTCAGGGCGCTGGGAAACCAAGCAACCAGCCTGCCTCCCTGCTAAGCAATAGTGAGCCTACCGCTGCAGGGGCCGAGAGTCAAACATCCCACTTTCCCTGCCATCCCACTTTCCCATTAGCAAATGGGAACCAGAGATCTGAGCATCTCTTGGGAGGTTGACCATATGCAATATAGCAAATAGGCAGGATTTTCTTCTACCATCTCTTTGAAGGCAAATATTTTTACTACTGTTTTGCTTTATTATGATTAATGGTACTGCTCTATTCAATACTGTTTTGATAAGTTCTATAATGTTCTTTATTTCATTTTATTTTGCTATACGTGATTGAAAAAAACAACTATATTTCATTTTATTTTGCTATACTTGATTGAAAAAACAACTATTGTGAAGATAACAGGATATACTGTGATACCTATTACCGTTATCCTAGTAACCTGCTGTGAAGTTCTGTAGCAATTTCACTATACTGGCTCAATTGGCTTTGTTCTGTCATGTTCTGTTGTATTTTACTACTTTCAAAATTGAAAAAAAGAAGTGAAGTGCAAACCTCAGATGAAGGAAGAAATCATAAAGATCAGAACAAAAATTAATGCAACTGAGACTAAGAAAACAGTACAAAGAATCAATGAAGAGTCGATGCTTCGAAAGATTAAATAAAACAGACAACCAACCTTATGCAAAATAGCCTACCTTATCAAAAGAAAAGGAAAGAAAAGGCTCAAATCCATCTAATTAGGAATGAAATGGGTAGGGGCTGGGGATTTAGCTCAGCGGCATAAGTACCTGCCTTGCAAGCAGGCGTCGTGAGTTCGATCCCTGTACTAATAAAAACGAAAACGAAAAAGACCAAAAAAAAAAGGGGGGGGGGATGCAATGGGTGAAATCACAATGGATCCTATAGAAATCTAGAAGATCTAGATTTCTACCTACTTCAAAAACTTGTACTCTAATAAGAACACACAGAAGACAAATTCCTAGATACATATGAACTATCAAAGATAAATCTAGAAGATATAAAAATTTTAAATAATGTAATCAAGATAAGTAAAAAAAGTAATTTAAAACCAAAAGCTCAGGTCCTGAAGGATTCACTACTGAATTCCACAAGAAATTTACACAGAAAAAAAAAAAAAAAAAGAAATTTACACAGGACCTAATACCACTACTCCTCAAACTGTTTAATAAAATTGAGAATGAAGCAATACCCCCAAAGTCATTCCTGCATGCAAGCATAACACTGATATCAAAAACAGAGAATGATCAAATCAAAAAAGAACTGTAGGCCAATCTCCCAAATGAACAGAGACACAAAAATTCTCAATAAGATACTGCCAAACAAAAAGCAACAAATCACCAAGAATATTATACACCATGACCAAGTAGGATTCACCCAGGGATGCAGGGATGGTTCAACATATACAAATCAATAAATGTAATACACCATATTAACAGAGCCAAGGAAAAAAACTACATGATCATCTCAATAGACACAGAAAAAGCATTTGATAGACCCATTCATGATAAAAACCCTACAGAAAACTGAATAGGTCTTTATCTAAATCTGAAAAAAGTCATCTATGACAAATCAACAGCCAACATCATACTAAATGGTCAAAAACTGAAAGCTTTCACTCTAAAATCAGAAACAAGACAAGGATGACCACTGTCCCAACTCCTATTCAATGTAGTTCTAGAAACATTAGCCAGAGCAATTAGTCAAGATCAAAAAAGGAACAAGGATCAGAAAATAAGTTAAATTATTATTTCCAGATGACACGATACTATAATGAAGACCCCCAAAATTCCACCAAAAGACTCCAAGAATTAATAATCAAATTCAGTAGTGTAACAGGATACAAAGCCAACACTCAGAGGTAGGCGTGGTGGCACATGTCTGTAATTCCAGCTCCTTAGAAGCCTGAGGCAGAAGGATTGCTGTGAGTTTAAGGCCAGCCTGAACAAATAAACCAAAATCAACACTCAAAAATCAACAGCATTCCTGTAAACAAATAAAAAACTCACTGAGAGAGAAATTAGGGAAATCACATTTTTCACAATAGCAGCAAGAAAAACGAAATCCTTAGAAATCAATCTAATGAAGGAAGTAAAAGATACATTGAAAACTACAGTACTCTGAAAAAGGAGATCAAAGAGGACAGCAAAAAATGGAGAGATGTCCCTTGTCCTTGGATAGGCAAAACCAACAGAGTGAAACTGACCATACTTCCAAAATAGTTACACAGATTTAATGCAGACAGAATCTAAATGCCAGTAACAAACTTCACAGAGAAAACAATCCAAAATTCATTTGGAACCAGAAGAAACCTAGAATAGCAAAAACAATTCTAGGCCACAAAGGCAAAGTAGGGGACATCACAACCCCTGACTTGAAATTACAAGGAAGGATGGCCTAGTCAAAGGAAAAAAAAAAAATCAAGAGAACACAACCCTGAGAAAGACCAAAGACTTTAAAACTGCTATTTTAAAAATGTTCAGAGAACTGCCAGGTGTGGTGAGACACACTTGTGATCCCAGCACTGGGGAGGATGACGCAGGAGGATCACATGAGTTTGAGGCTCACCTGGGTAACGAGTGCAAAGCCAGCCTGCCCTACCTAGTGAGACCCTGCCTCAAAATAAGGACACTCACCTAGCAGAAGATGTGGTCAAAGGCAAGAAAGAAATTTATGAAAAAGAAAAAACCCCAAAATATAAATAGGTTTTAAAAAACAAATAGAAATTCTGGGGTAGAACAAATTAAAATTCAGGACAGGAATTAAAAGGCAGATATAAGGGCTGGAGACATAGCTCAGCAGCTCAAGCACTTGTCTGTCAAGCGTGAGATCGTGAGTTCGATCCCCAGTACCAAAAATGAATAAATAAATACATGGCATATCTGAGCAGGAGGAAGACAGAATCATTAAACTTAAATATAAGACACTAAATAATTAAATCTGAGGAAGAGTAACAAAGCTAAAGAAAACCACAGAGCTGGTGAGTCACTATCAGGTGGACCAACATACAAACCGTGGGGTCGCACAAGGACAGGGACAAAGGGGGCGGAGAGAGTATTTGAAGAAACAGCCAAAAACTTCCCAAACGTGATGAAAGACTTGCCTTAAATATCCAAGCAGCTCCCTGAACTCCCTACAGGATGTAATCAAGTGACCAAACTGGAGCCCGGTGCAGCCAAGCGCGCCTGAGGACCAAGCCACTCAAGCTGTAGTGGGAGAATCACTGGAGACACTACAGAAGTGCTAGAGGGAGGGGAGAGGGGACGGAAGGAGGAGAGGGAGGGCAGAGCCCCGCGGAGACACGTTAGTCAACTGGGGAAGCTAAAGAGAACCTTAAAGCAGCAAGAGGTGACTCACATGCAAGTGATCCCCAATAAGATATCAGCAGATTTCTCAAAGTTTCGGCAGCTAGCAGGCATCGAGAGGATTTATTCAAGGTGCTGAAAGAAAAAACAAAATTAGAAAGTCAACTAAGAACCCCACATCTGGAAAAATGTCTTTCCAGACTGTGTGAAGGGCGCTGAGACTCACGCCCTGCCTCCGAGAGGGCTCCCAGCTCATTCCAGCAGGTGACCCCTGTCCTAGCCTGGCCTTAAAAACGAGACAATACAGCCTGGAAACTGAGCGTTTACCAAGAAAGACCTGGGAAGTGGTTAAAGAATGTGAAACTGGGGGAAGTTGCCAGCAAGTGCCAGTTCCTGACCTCGCGCCTCGTGATTCTCTGGACATCAGTGGGGCTTTATTTAAAACAAACTGCAGTTGCAACCGTATTTCTTGCCTGAAGACTATCAGGGAAAGGACCCTTCCAAAAATAAATCTCATGAGAAAAACTGGAAAATGAGACCAATGTATCTAAGAGCCAAGTCAGAAAAATCGTTTACATTAAATGAGGCAAAGAAAAATAGTTAACACAGCTCTCTGAACATGCAGAATTACTCGATTCCTATATCACGGTGAATCCACCAGCTCTGAAAACAAGAGGTATGCAAAATAACGTATTAACTCTTAATCTAATTAAACAAGATACTAAAAAACCAAAATCTACCTTGAAAACATCAGTCAACCAAGATTTAGGTGGGGGTGGTTTTCACACCTCATTTGAGAATCAAAATTCTACAACTATTATTTTGGCAACTTCAAATTTTGAAGGTATTCAATCAACAGTCTTTGGAAGCCAAAGAAGTGCTTGAAATAACTCCAATCATCTTAATCCAAATCTTACACATAATGCCATGGAAATTAATTCCCGGGAAAGTCCATTCTTATTCAGCACAAGCAACCCAGCAGTTGAAGAATTAAACACAAACAATGGGTCTCTTACTATCATTTTGTACTGAGAGAAAATTAAAAATGTGTTAATTCTTTTATACCAATCCAAAAAGAAACCATGGAGATGGAAGGCATAGGTACTGAAGAGTCCTTACATAAGGATGTAGATCATGGGGCAGAAGTCTTACAAATTGATCATTCTTACTGCAGACAAAACATAAATAAGGAACATTTGTGGCAAAAAGTTTCTAAGCTACATTCAAAGATAAGTCTCCTTGAGCTACGGGAACAAAAATCTCTAACGTAGGCTGAAGTCTTTAGAAGCATTTATAAGCCAGCTAAAACTTATGAAATGGCTATCTAAAGAAAATGTCAAAATTACAGAAAACCATACAACATATGAAGTCACTATGATATAAAGATGTTTATAATTTCAAGAATTGTATGTAGGGGCTGGGGATTTAGCTCAGCGGCATAAGCGCCTGCCTTACAAGCAGGCAGTCGTGAGTTCGATCCCTGGTACCGGTAAAAAGGAAAAAGACAAAAAAAAAAAAAAAAAAAAAAAGAATTGTATGTAATGGAAACTTTCTTATATGAAGTTCTCATTTTAATAAAGCTATAAAAGTAATATCTGAAAGGGTTTTGGCCCAGACAGGACACTGTAGCCAGGAAAGCCTCAACCGGAAGCAGGAAGCCCCTATCTCCCCCACCCCTAGGAATTTACCTGTGACTTTCCAGCCCCTGGGAATTTACCTATGGCAAAACCTAGGACCAATGGGCTACCTGTGCATCCCCAATGCCCTCCTTAGGTTCCACGCCAAACCAAGGCTACTTATGTGCCTCCACTCCACATGTTCCACCTGGAGAGATCACCGAGCCCAGGGTGGAGATGCCGTGCCCCAGGGGACCGGGGGTGTTGTGTCCCCCCCCCCCCCGCATTCTCAAAATAAAGGTCATTTGTATTTCATACTTATCTTTTCAGCCTCTGCCGGTCCCCCACAGTTCTATCATGAACCTCTGGTGTATAATTATGTATCTATAATATATAGTAAAACACTGGTATAATTTTATTTCACTTGAATTTAACTCATAAGAGAGGTACTTTAAACCTGAAAGTATATCTCAGTACAGTATATATAGCTGACCATAATACACAGCTATTTAACACCTTTATAAAGTTATAAGCCAAAAATTCTAATGAAATTCATTTTAAGTATATAGAAATGTATTGTAGAAATCAGTTTATATTTCTTTATAGATATAGCTTTTAAAGTACATGCCTGTGTCACTTTATAAATCCAAACACTATAAATTCTCACTTATGTATATTTTAATAAAATGCATGAGCAAAAAATTATAATTAGTGATGATTCAGGAAGAGAAAGTCATTCTCTTAGAAAACAGAAGCTTTGATTACATAAATATAGATACTGTTTATATTTGCATGAATTTAAGAAAAATATAAAACAGACTTGTGGTAACACAAATGTGAAAAATAGATGTTATATCTGCTCCCCAAAACTTAGCAGTCAATAAAATGTTATTGCCAAAAAAAATTGTGTGAGGCCAGGTGTGGTAACCCCAGCTACTTGGGAGACTGAGGCAGGAAGATCACAAGTTCAAGGTCAGTGTGGACAACTCAACAGGACTCTGTCAAAATAAAAGAGGTAGGTATGGCACACTGATATGGTGCTTATCCTGAAGCCCTGGGTTCAATTCCCAGAACCACAGGAGGGGGAAAAGTGAGTAAAGACATTTTATGATGAGCAAAAACTGAGGGAGTTTAATATCGCTTAGACCTGTCTTGCAACAAATATTAAGGGAAGCACAATAGGTTGAAAGAACTAGATAGTAACTTGAAACCATATGAAGAAATAAAGATAATTATGGGCTGGGGATTTAGCTCAGCAGCATAAGCGCTACAAAAAGTTTTTTTAACTTGATTTTGAAACTCCACTTCTTGTTTTCTATGACTGAACAGGTTAATACACAAACAAAATGTGTTATACATACAATGGAATATTCAGCCATTAAAGTGAGGAAAATTCTGACACAGACTCCAAGATGAATGAAATCTGCAGGGTGTACCTAACTGTTGGCTCAGTGGGTCCCACTGTGTGCTCCTGAGCTCAAGGGTATGGTTAACAAAACCATATGCTAAGAAAAATATGCTGGTCAAAAACATGTAATTCCACTTACATGAGGTAACTAGAGTGGTGAAATTCATAGCGAGAAGGGAACTAGAGGAAGGAACAGCACAGAGGTGTTTAATCAGGATAGTGTTCCAGTCTTAGAAGGTGAAGAGCTCTGGAGACGAGCTGGGTGATGGTTACACACAATGTGAATGTATTGAAGAGTACTGAACTTTACACTTAAAAATAATTAACATAGTTATTTTTCTCTTGTGGTTGAGAGAAAATACTCAACATCCAAAGTTAAAGGGAAAAAGATTTATTTAGCTCACAATTTGTAGAGGTTTCAGTCCATAATTGGCTGAGCCCAAGGCAGGGTGGCTTAGAAGTGGGGTATTGCAGAGGAGAAATAGTTCATGATAGCAGAAGACAGCAAAAGCAAGCGAGAGAAGTGGAGACAAGATTCTTTCTGTTCCTTATATTGTAAGCAGGTTTTCTAGCCCCAGGGTGAGTAAAGCACTCACCCTTAATCCTAGCCAGAACTGTGCAAACCAATCAGCGGACTGATTTACTCATCACAAGCCCTTGATCCCAGTATCACACACTCTGGATCCAGCCACCTCTGAAAACGCCCTATGCCCGAATGAGGTTTTGGGGGAACAGGTTTCTAGACACAAATCATAACACACAGCCATACATAGTGGTGCATGCCTATAATCTCAGCACTTAGGAGGCTGAGACAGAAGGATCTCTGTGTGTCTAAGACTAGCCTGAACTGCATAGTGAGACTTTGTCTCAAAAAAAGTTAACATGGTAAAACACTGTCAAATATACATTAATGTGATAGTAAAAATGTGGAGAAAATGGTATTAGGATAGATTCACAAATTATACAGCAAGGGATTACACTGAATTGTTTTCATGACTCCTAATTAGGGAAAGTTTCCCTGGAGACATCTATCTAAACTGAAACCTAAAGAGTCACTTCTCATTTAAGCAGAAAAAGGGGAAAGATATTTGAAGCAGAGAAAAAATATGCAACCAATAGTAAAAGAACCAATTTATTGCACAGTTCAAGACAGAATACGCATACTAATCTCAAAAGAAGTTAACTACAAATTCAGCAACAAAACAGTCTTCACAATCAACTCAATTTGAATTTGGGGGGGGAGTACTGAGGATCAAACTTACAACCTCATGCTTGCCAGGCATGTGCCTCAATTTGAATTTTAATGTTTGACAATTTTCTTTGCAATTCATTTGTAAGTGGGTTTAGTTATTATGGTTTCATATGAATTAAAACATAGGGGCCAGCGATATAGCTCAGCGGCATAAGTGCCTGCCTGGCAAGCACAAGTTTGAGAGTTAGATCCTCAATACCAAAAAAAAAAAAAGAATCAAAAGATAGTCAACATCACTCAAAGGCTGCAGAGGAGAAAAAGAAGCCAAGTCCTTCCTCCCGAGTTGGTGCCATGTGCAGCCCACTGGGAGGAGAACCAGATGCCAGCCCTTTCCTTTGTCAGCAGCATTTGCAGACTGCAGGGGAGAACAAGAAGTCAACTCCTTCCTGGGGCTCAGGTCATGTACAAGCCTCTAGGAGAAGCAGATGCCAACCCTTTCTGGCATGCTGGCTGAGAAACAAGGACCGACGTGCTGCATCCACGGCCATGAGCAACCAGCTGATCTGGAGAAACACAGACTGAGAGCACAGCTACTGAGGTAAAATACAACTTAATGCTTGTAGTGTTCCACTGATTTTGCAGGTCTAAAGCTGGTAGTCTATCTATTTAGAGGATAACTATATGCAATTGTGAGAGTTGACCCCCCTGCTATAACCCCCTCCCCAGAGCGGGGAATAAAAGGGTTAACTCCCTAACTCCCCAGAGCGGGGAATAAAAGGGTTAACTCCCTAACTCCCCAGAGCTATCAGAGCAGAGCAGAAAGAAATGCCTAACTCCCCAGAGCTATCAGAGCAGAGAAAAAAAAAAAAGAAAAAATGCACCTGCAAGGTTGTTCTGTCTCAACGAGATAAGTAAGACAAGTAACTGTTCTGTTCTGGGCACATAGTGACTGGGCTAGGACCCCCAGTCTCCATGGTTACTCAACCCCAAACCCCTCCAATCAACTTCTGCCAAGTCCTATCCTGCTCAAAATTAACCAATGCAATCTGCTTCTGTAAATTCGCTTGCCTCCCTGCGCCCTTAAAAACCCTACACAATTCCCCTTCGGGGCCCTCCGCACTTGTTTGCCTGGGGGACCCCATGCGCATG